TTAGCACCCTCGGTCTTTTCACAAAGGGCTTTCAGTGACTCGGCAATCATTTGCATGTTGTGTCTATCCACCGAGCTACCATCAAGAGGCTCGGGCACTTCATTATCTACAAATGCTGCTGCTGCTGATGCTACATTGGATGTTCCTGCTGCTGATGTGTTCTGGCTAAAAAGCGACGGAGCTGCTTCTGCAGCTGCTCGGCTGCTGTAGCTGTTGCTGCTGCTCCGGCTATAAGGACTGCTGCAGCCTGAAGGAGTGAAAGCTCCAGGGGTCTCCACGTGATTCCAATCTGCTGATAGTTTTGAGCTGTCACCGCTGTTGTTTCTCTCGTCTTCTTGTTGCTGCCGCTGATATTCCCCAGACCCTTGTCTGCTGGCCCCAGGCGCAGAAAGCATAGGGGTTCCACACAATACCCAACCATCCTCGTCTGTGTCGCGCCCTGCAGCAGTTGTCGCACTGCCTTCCGCCTTTGCTGTCTCTGCACCGGTTGATGTTGCTTTTTCCGATGCTTCGGCTTCAACATCACATGGCTCGTGCCCATTGTGATCACCTACATCAGCCGCAGCAGTGGGCACATGCCCGGAGTGGCTGTCTCTGGGTTCCAGAATTTCCTTTGGCCCAAGCGACACGCTTCCAGCACGCCCGCTTCCTGAAACTTCGACTGCCCCATTTCTAAGGGAGCAACATGAAGAAGAAGCCAATTTTCCGGAATGTAGAGCTGCTACAGGCAGCAGTAGAGTCTGCTGCTGTTGAGATGGTAGATCTTGAGAAGTATCTTCAGCTGTTTCCGTAACTGCATCTTCAGCAACTGAAGCATTTTCTGTCTGAGCGAGATCTTCTTCTTCTTGCTGCTGGTGTTGTTCGCCTACTTCCTGATTTCTCTGTTGTCTCTTGCCTTCGGCTGGCTTAATGCTTTCTTGCTGCTGTGTTTCTTGTTCCATATTATTCGCTGATTGTGCAGCGGGGGCCTGCTGCCTCTGCTGCAGCTTTGCTTCCTTCAGCTCTCTTTGCTCCTTTTTCTGCTGTCGCTTAGAAGACAGCTTCCGTGTGTCGGCAGCTGCTGAAGCTGTTGTAGCCGGGCCCGGTGCCACGACTTTTGTTTCTGCTGCTTCTGGTGTTGCTGTGGAAGCTTCAAGTCTTGTCGCTACCCCATCTACCTTGCCTCTGGTCGCCTTTGATACTGTGGATTCTTCCATCGTGTTTTTCTTCGTGTGTTTACTCTTCTTGCTGCTGGTGCGAGCTTTGCTACAATGGTCATCAGCGGCGCCGCTTTTACTGCTGCTCCCCTCAGCACTATCACCTTGACCCTCTTCTTTTCTGCAGCGGCCTGGGCTCTCAGTTCTGCAGCTGCGAGATGGCTTGCTGCTATGGTCCGTGGAACACTGTCCAGCAGTGCTCGTAGTCTCGATCGAGGCCTTTGTGGTGTCCTCTTCCGCGCAAGAGTTGCTGCTGTTGCTATTGCTAGCCACACTGGGATGCAGCGACTGATCACTGACATTCGGCAAACTAGGCGGATTCGTTGGTGGCTGTTCCTGTTGTTGCTGCTGCTGCAGCTGCCTCTGTTTCTGCTTAGACGTCCTTCCCTTTGCTGACGCTCGGATGCCGATGCTGCTTGCTGCATAATCCACGTTGCGCACACCATCTATGGCAACAGGGCCAAAAGAAGCAGGTGAAGCAGAGACACCGACAGCAGAGGCTGTAGGTGTTGCTGCAGACTCCACGATATCTGGCGCTACACCAGCAGTGCCTTCACTTGAATTTTGAGTGGTGCTTCCTACGCAGCCTCCCTTTTTCTGCTTTTGTTTCTTCCCTTTTGCCTGTTTTGTTTGCTGCGGCTGTTGCGGCGGAGCTCCTGCTGGTGCTTCCGTTGCTCCTGATATCAAGACTGCTTCTGCATCTGCTTCTTCAAGCATTTCTGCCTTTTTCCGCTGCTCTTTTCTTTTGCTGGGCAGCTGAGAAGCACCCGCGGCAGTTGGCGCTTGTGCAGATTGACTAGTGCTGCTGCTGCTGCTGCTTCTCGGGTCAGCCGCGTGCATGGAGAGGTGCTTCGTCCCCTGCAACAGCATCTGGGGATGGTGCAGGTGCAGAGACAGAAGAAGTTCCAAGGAAGGAACTGAGAGGATGCGGACAACGGAGCCCTGAAGGAATGCACAGGCCCCACACAATACTGCTGAGTTGCAACATCAGCAGCAACAGCAGCAGTAGCGCCCTCTCACCGTCAAGGCTGCCCCTGTCCCGTGTGCATGTGCTCATGCGCTGCGACCACTCGGCCTGCAGTGGCACCTAAGTGCACGCAAAATATGACCTCTCAGTAGACCGTAAGGACAGCTTCACTGTCCTCCGTTGCTACAGTCGTTGATAGTAAGAGGCGTAAGCACAGCAAAAGGAGCAGCAGTTGCAGGATACAAGGCGTGAGCGTAAGTTCTACCAGCTGATGCAGCAAGTGAACTAGGAGTCGTCAGCAGCACTATTGGAAGCATCAATGAAAACACCAACAGCAGCAGCAGTCTGACACTCTGCCCCGACCTTCGAAGAGATAGCAGCAACAAGTGAAGCCGACGCAGAAAATGCAATAGACCTCAATGGAGCCTCATGTGTGCATCTCCAGGCAGCGAACCGCGCGCTCAAAAGATCGAAAAGGCAAAGGACGCCGGCACTTCCTCCCCTACAAAGCAAAAAACAATCACGCAACACACTGTGTAGCAGAAAGTTGAAGAGACAGCCGTGATTCAAGGAAGCAACGCGAGGAGGTAGGGAATAACAGTGCAGACGAGACAGCAATACATGCCAGCATCAGGCAAACAAATGGACGATACACGGGCTGACGAAGAAGAAAACCAAAAAGAATAGGGGCAGCTCGGCAGATAACACGACGAGCTGTCATCGTGGAGTTGCAACATTACGACTCCCGCTGATGTATGATATCTGTTTCCTTCTCCTGGCTGTCCCTACTATCGTGCCTCCGTATGGTCTTTTAAATACATTGTTGCCTTTCTGCCTTTGTGTGTCTCGCAGCATTCATGCGTCGCTGCCTTCAGTGGTTCCCCTTCATCCCCGTACAACTGCGCGTGGACGCTACGCCAGCAATGCCACCGGCAGCATAAAACGAAGGAAAGAGAGTCCTCACGAACACAAATTAAGCCGTGTGGGGACCCACAGAGGTCGCACTATGCAGTTCTTACTGTGGTCCTGCAGGAAGGGCGAGGTAACTATGCTGAGGGCTCCAACCCACGGCCATAACAGCCTGAGTAGCGTCGGCCGCAGCTGCAGCAGCATGTGCCTTTCCGTCTGATGCAGCTGTCTCACCCACCCAGGAGTCTGGTGGCAGGGCGTCCGTTCCTCCAGCAGCGGCTGCAGCAACTGCAGCCACTGCAGCAGTGCCGGCCGAAACAAAAAATCCCCGCGGCTGCTGCGGCAGCACGGGATGCCTCTCCAGTGTGCGCAGCAGAGTCAGAGACTGCAATACAAATATGGATATATGCTTTTCATTTAGAACTACCAATCTCGCGGGGGTTATCTTAACGCCGCAGATTGCGTAGGGCTGCACCACGCAAGCGATCAAACTGCTGTTATTGCGGCTGGGGCTATTGTTGCTGCTCGCGCTGCTGGAAGCAGCAACTGAAGGTTTACAGTTATACAGTCGAAGCATGCGGCGGCTGCTGCTGCTGCTCATTCCACTTCCTGAATAGCAAGCACCACAGAGGTTCGTGCGCTAAGCATGTTCCTTGTTCTGCTCGTAGATGCCATGTTGTAGGTCCAGGCACTGGGGCCTGTAGGCCTGTAACCTAAGAAGTAGAAACTGTCTCGTAGCTGCATCAAGTAGGACAGCAAAGCCACTGAGAACAGCAGCAGCATCAGCAGCCGCGTACCCACAGCTGCAACAAGGCTCGTGCTTAGCAGCATTTCGACAATGGTCACCGGACCACAAACGCATGTGTACATACACCTAAGGGGTCGTACACTCCACACCAGGAATCCTGCTGTGGTGCCGACACAAAGACAAGAGGAGTCGCTGTTGAACCCCAAGAAGGTCACTGCTGCCTTCACTGTGGGGAACTTCCCCTGGGTAGGGCTGTCTTCTTCTGCTGTGGCGACCATTGTTTCGCTGCTGTTGTTGCTTATTATATCCCTGCAAGTGCAAAAACTTTGGAGAAATCTACACAGGCACTATAAGTGAAGGACAGTATGTGACAGACTCTCCCGAGGACCAGAACTTGGCCGCTGCTGCTGTTACTGCTGCTGCAGCCGTGGCCGCCGTTACAAATAAATGAAGCGGCAAGTTATAAAGGCAAACACATGACACTGGCACCTAGCTGTTGCCCTGAAGCGACAAAGAGCTGTTGCTCCTGCTCCTGCTGCTCGTGCTTTGCTGCTGCTGCACCATTGGACTCTGCTGCGGTGGCGTAGCAGCGACAATGGCCAAGGGCTTCAAGAAGAAAAATATCGGATGAAACTAAAAAGAAAATAAAATGATAAATGCGTTTTTAGACTCTCCTTGTTATGAAAAATAAAACCTGCCATAGTTACTGCCTCAGCAGCAAACTGCAGCCTAACGACCCCACCGCTGCCACTGCCGCTGCTGTTACTGTTGCGGTAGCCCCTGTTGCAGCTGTGTCTCAGTTTATTGGGACTCAATGCTATCAAAGCTAGAACAGCGGCAGAAAAATTTTCTTGAACCTCCTGTATAGCACCCAGGTAAGGAAGCAGTAAAATGCGGCGGGTGCGTGGCGTGTGTGAGCATGCATTTTGTTGGTTCCCTTCTACTGCTGCTGTTGGAGCTGTTGCTTATCTGTACTGCAGAGCTGATTTTCCCTGCTTTTTTAGCTCCACCTTATGTGTGTTAGAATCAGGCCGCCCGTGTGCCTCTTCATGCCTCGGCAGGAGAAGCAGCAAGAGACAGTAGGAAAAGCTGCGGCAGCGAAACCAAAGACACTGGCTGCCGAACTTGCGCTGCTACTCTGGTATGCGCGACTCCTGCTGCTGACATATCGTATTTTGCGATGTTTGGTTGCCTCCGTGGCCTGTGCCGCCCTCACTGCTCCAACCTCTCTGTAACCATTAGAGCAACCCCTTGTTTGCTGCGGCTGCAGCGACAGCAACAGCTCTTGAACACCTACTTATTACACACTTGCAACAATTACGGCGAATATCGAGCATCACTGGCAGTCGAAGCAGCAGCAAGGCGGATAACACCGGAGCCTTCTTCGCAACTGGCCCTAGAGCAGGGCAGCGCCAGCATGAGCAGCACTCTGCAGCCTCAAAGCAAGATGGCCAGCCTGCTGGTTCTTACAAAGGAGGAGGTAGACATGGCACAGAAGGCCACAGATGGGTGGCTGAAAGGTACAGTGCGTGCAGCAGAGCCAGCAACAGTAAAAGCTGCAGCCCCTGCTGCTCCAGTCGTGGCAGCCAGCCACGACAGTGTAGTCACAGGGAACTCATACTGCAGCTGTGGCACGAGGCACTGAATGGCTCTGGTTTTAGGCCAAAATGCAGAATAAATATCTGAAGTTAAGGTTCGTGTTTTACCTCGCAGTTGTTGAGAGGGCACTACTCACCCCCCTTGATTTCAAAGAGCACAAGGGCAGATATGGTAAGCGTACAGTTTGAAGATGATAGTGGAGGACTCGGAGTTCTGCTTGAGTTTATCCTTCCTCGATGGACAGTTTGCTCATTTTCTCAACTTCGGATGTTGCTGGCCCTGGTGGCACAGCGGTTGGTTTGGGCGAATTTCTTGTGCTGTATGTGAACCTTTTGCGTAACGGATTAAGAAAAAGTCGCTACACTTACTGCGTTTTCATATGGAAGCTGTGGTGTTGCTGCTGCTGTTCTCGCTGCTGTGCCCGTAGGAAAAGTTTGCGTCATTGGCGGATCTGCCACGTTTACGGGGGCGCCATATTTCGCCGCTTCTGCGGCTCTTCGCATGGTACGTTTTTGTCGATGGGATTTTTCAAAACAACGGGTCTTTTAATGCACTAGAGTGTTACCGAGGAATTGAGGTTACGTAGTAGAGACTGAACAGGCATCCAAAGGATCAAGTGGGCTTCAAGAGCCCGAGATGGGGCCGTTTGGACGCATAGAGCCGCAGAACGAGGAAACTTTTAATACACCTACGGGGTCATAGACAAGCGGGATGGGACGAATTCCAGAAACTTGTGGGGCTTCGATATACTTCCGAGGACCCGGCGGGTTACTTCGTTTTTTTGAAGGGACAGCTGCAGCCATCGCGTTGCAGCTGCTGCCCGCGAGCGATATATACGGTGTGAGGTGACATAACGCCTCAGGGTGTAGTGTTTAGGTCTCAAGACGTTTGGACTTTTGTTTCGCAGGGGGCGGACCTGGCTACAGTTATAACGACTCCCAGTGCAGCTATGGCCATCAAGGCTTACAGCCCAGAGCTCCTTGTCTATCCAGTACGTGATTCTGGTTTAACTGATGTTCTCTTCTGCAGCATCTACAGATTCCTCCTGTCCACGCAGTTGCCGTTTTGGTTTTTGGAGCATCATAATTTCACAGCATAACTTGCGCAGCTTTGCCTTTTCCCGTGTTGTCGCTAGTCTAGAAGCAATTCACAATTGACTTGAAACAGCATCCGAAACTTTCGGCGCTAGTACTTCTGTTGTAGATGATTTTACTGGTGGTGATACTGATGCTGCAGATCCTGCCTTGTCGCTACGGAGCTGAGCGCGGAAAACCCAATGAGCAGGATCCCTTCGACTACCAGCTAGAGCTGGCCAGGCTCAAGATTCATGTTAGCCGCTTCTGCGGTCCCGTGCAGCGTGTGCTGCAGTAGCTGCTGCTGTGCTTGCTGCTTCTGCAGCTGCTGCCGTGAACAGCTTTCAGCCACATCTCATGCGGCAGCAGCGTCGTATTTATCGTCACCAATAGTAGCAGCAGCGCTTGCGGATGTGTCTTTGTGTTTTAGGCAGAGCCTCTTCTGCGGAAGGTGGACGTTGTTGTTATAGGGCCTGGACTGGGAGGTAGCAGCAATTACCGTTTTCACGAAGAGCACGACACAAAACAACAGCAAGCGCAGCAGCAACAGCATCCTCGTCAGGGAAAGCAACAGGAACAACAGGAGCAGCAGCACAAGCAAAAGTCGCTAGATAAATCTGGGAGTGGTGGCCGGCTTTCCCATTTCCTTAGAGAGGCGATTGATGATGTTCATAAAGTGGTTCGAGGCTCATCTTCGTCAAGTGTTGGAGCGGATCACAAAGCAGCAGCAACCGCAACAGACCGAACGAATCCCGCCACAATAGACCATGCTATTACGAAACAAGCAATCTTGGAGGCTGAAGCTGCTGCGGCTGTCACTCAGAAAGCAGCGATTTTTCTGTTAAGACTTTGTATGCAAATGAAAAAGCCTCTTGTAAGCTAGCGTCAGGCGGCAGAAGCGCCAGTAGCAGGCGTAACTGCGGCACTATGCTGCTCGAACGAGAGTAAAGTCATCCCTTAGTGCCGGTTTCTTGATTTGCAGTGATGTAGTTTACTTGGCATTGTGATTGTTGCTTTTTCAGGTATTGGACGCAGATATGCTCCGCATCCTATCGATACCTGGCCATGAACACTACCTTTCTCTGTTGGAAGGCTACGACCAGGCAGTTTTAACCCCAAATGGGCACGAGCTGGAACAGCTGTTGCGGGCTCTTCGGAGACGCCAAGCGGCTGGGGATGGGGAGCAGCATGGTCCTAAGGGGTGGAACAACTACGCAACACACGGTTTACTTCCTGCATCTTTGGAGGCTGAGGGCGTGACGCAACATTTAGCCGAAACCGTGGCGCTGCTACGGGGCCCTTGCGTGTTTGCTAAGGGCAGGGTTGATCTGCTGGGCGCGTTTGATGCCAAGGAGGATTTGGAAGACTGCCCGAGAGTCTACATGGCAGTCGCAGGACTTGACCCCCGTTATTTTGGGTCCCCTAAACGGTCTGGAGGCCAAGGTGACGTGCTTTGCGGGGTCTTGGCGGAGGCGCTTGTATGGAGTGAAAGGGGAAGGGCACTGGAGCTGAAGCAGGTTGAGGAGGAGACGGCGAAATTAGGCCTTGTTGTTCCTTTTGGTGGAAGGCCTTCGGTTCCTTACCTCTTTCTAATGCATGCTGCTAGCCTTATTACTCGCCAAGCTGCTTTTCTTGCCTATAAACACCACGGCAGGTCAATGACCGCAGAGCACATACTCGATAGACTCTCCGCAGCTGCCGCCATCGCATTCCCATCCTCTTGGATCCAGCAAAGTAGCCTTTGAAAACGTTGCAGTTGATACGAGTAATGCAACGAATGGGAGTATGAGAAGCGTAAGTAACGTGAACAGACAGCCGCAAGTACTGTCAACATAACGTTTAGACTAACTGATTTCCCGCCGTGGCCTGGATGGAGCCTGCGTACACACCATTTGAATTTAAAGCTCCAAGGAACACCACGGTGTCCGTGACGATTTTCTCAAGGCGAGTCGATAGTGCAGACCTTCGTGGGACCGCCACTGAAGCACGCTCTGAGATTTTGTGGGGCCACGTCAGGTGCCTCTGGGGCACAAAAGGCCTGTCATCATTTCGGGGCATCAGGGCGTTCAGCAGAGGTTGCGTGATGGGTAACATTAGTTTTGTGGCGCATGCTGAGTGACAACGTACTTACGCAGCGTGGTCCATACCTGCGCAGCGTTTTTTTTCTCTCAAGTCTCCAGACTGAACGGTAGAAGTGGAGAGATCCTCATTGAGTTCTCTTTGCGTCATGGGCAAAGTTTCCTGTTCGCCGTTTCACAGGAGCAGGTGTTTGTAAGCTGCAACTGCAGTCAAAATTAGCAAAGTATGGTGCTTCCCAGTATGTTATGCAAGCACATATGGCACTCTGAGTTCAGGAGGCCGCAGTTATGGAATCACGTGGAAGAGGACGTAGCAGCTCTGCCCCTTGCTGGATTTGGGGGATTTCCACCGTTCCCCGAACTTCTACGCGTATGTTTGACCGCGGCACACCCGTAGAACTTAGGGTCGCAGTGATAGCAGTTTATTGGTTGTGCGGGAGGCTGAGCAAACCAGCAGAAGCGCAGCCACAGAGAGAGGCACAATCCTGGGGCCGGAAGGGGGCCGCCTGGATGGATAGCTTGCTATGCTGACCGCCACCAGGAGGCACGGAAGGATATGTGCTTGTGTATGCACTTGCGGTTCTCGCTGCACCCGTGGAGTCCGTCAAGTACGTTGAACACACGCGCTGATGCCAGCACTGGCGCGCATGAGCTATAGGACAAAGTCTACTTTGCCGCGTTCCGCACGTTCCCCACAGTGTAACGAACAGGATCGAACTGCATCCTGCAGCGAGCTACAACTGTCTCTACACTCCCAATATCTGGATTCTTGGTAGCACTTTCTCTACAGTTTTACTTCGCGGCGGGGGGCAGCCGAGGATTTATGATTCGTTGGAATCGAAACCCTTTCCTTTTCGTCCTTTTCTTGTGGCTGTCCCTTAGCTCAGTTCCTCTTTTCTTATTGCTTGAAAACGTGCGCTTACAAATGAAAGCCTGCCGCATCTGTGCATGCATTCGGCGCAGTTCATCTAGAAGTGCAGATGTATTCCGATGAGCATATTCTCATGCATGCGTACATGCTCTGAGTCACTTGTAATCACTTCCCCCTACGTTTCGCCCGTAGTGATAGCCAACCTGAGTTCTCCAGGCTGCACCTGGTTTTACGCTATGTATGTACACTAAATGCACGCACCTGCAACTAAATGCACGCACCTGCAGTCTGTGCATACAACTGGAAACGATGCAAGGCGTTCCCATTGCTAACTGTTTGGCTTCGACTGACTCCTTCGGTAAGCATGCAGAAAAAAAGTACAAGCATGGTAGGGCACCCTCTTGTGTGCATAAGTAGTTTTCATGTGTGTCAACGTGCACATCTATACACGCATGAGTGCGTGCTTTTATACATGCACGCATGTGTGCGTGCCTGCGTGTAAACATGCGTGCATGCATAAATTAACACACGTACGCATGCGCATATGAATGCACGCACACACGTAACACGCGCAACTAAGCAGAGAACGAATCTCCGTGAGACGCAAGAAGCAGCAAAAAATCCTCCAACACTGACGGTACGAGTTTTGGGGGATCAACGTCTTAGCTGTCGGAAGGCTTGACCTCCTCTTCTGCCGATTTCTTCTGGGCCTCGAGTCGCTCCACCTACGGGACACGCCGATCGCAGGTAAGCCACTATTGCAGAGCAAGCCCGTTATGCGAATGCAAGCGGCCATTTTTCTGGGCTGCGCCGTCGCGGCCACCACATATTGCAAGCGCCACCACAGCGGCTACTCCGCCAGCTGCTGCTCTGCTACTTTTCCGTACTCCTCACCTCTGCTGCAATTTTCTCTTCTGGCAGAAACTCAACTGCATGCTTGCGCACAATTGCGCATTCTACATTCTTCTTGCCTGCTTCCACAACTTCAGTGAGGGCTCTTATCGCCAAAGAGAAGGCCTCCTCCTCGCTCAGGTCTTCTTTGTAATTCTTCTCCAAGTACTCCTGCACTGTCTGAAATTGACAAATAGTGGAAGCGCAAACACACACGCACACACACTTTGACAGGCAGATGTAGATGCCTGCAGCAAAAGTACAATGTACAGCAAGATGGGAATCCGACTGTCCACTGGTACACTAAACCCGCTAGCGGCTACGCCCGCTCCAAAATTCGTAACTGAGGTCCCAAGTTCAAAATGAGTGCGAAGACCTGGGTAGTACAGCAACTCTCATGGGTAGTCACTTGCTTCAGTAACTCCATCACAGGAAGAAGAGATGAAAGAGGCGCAGAGTGGGAACAGCACACGATGCCACATGAAAAACTAACCGCAGCAAAGGTGGAATACATAGGCACTACAAAACTTCGGGGAAAACCTGGAAACGAGTGCACGGGAGACAACAAACACACCGCGAGACAGGACTACAACCTGCATGGCTAGTTAAGACCATAGCACCAGCACAAACCCTAATTTTGCCATTTGAGACAAGTCCACGTCAAGTACAAATAATGGAATTGAGAGTTGCTACGAACTAACTTTTGAGTTCCTGCCGAGGGCTTGTGCCTTCCACCGTGCAAATATGCCCGAGGGCTCAGTTTGGTAGAGGGCCACTTTGCCCTCCCCGTCCACCCCAGCTAGCAGCGTAGACAACCCAAACGGCCGCACGCCGCCTCTATGAGTATATTTCTGAGCAATTCAACTCAAAAGCATTAGTATGTGGAAAATCGTGTGCAACGACGACTCTTGCAACTGCTAACCGACACGAGGTACATTTGACACGAAGAGCAACCATGGGCACAGAAAGACACACACAATGTAAAGACAACCGCTACTCGAATGAGCCTGGCCCCTTTCGCAGCATCAGCACTCGTAAAATGAGTGCACAAAGTAGAAGGCAGGCACAAAGCGTTGTAACGTGACAGACAGGAAGAGACAACCAAGCAACCTGAGGAGACAGCGACGGCGAAAGACAAGCAACAGCGAAGCGCCGAAAGCTGGAAAGATTCACACATGCTGCTGCTGAAAAAGCAGCATCTGCATCTAATGCAATGGCATGTGCAACAACTTTCACAATAATTGGATTATCACCAGAAGCACTTAAAATAACAAAATCTACCGTCGCAGCAGTTACCTGCTGCACTTGTGCAATATATCTGGCCATATAGTCTGCTGTGGGTGGTGTGTCATTGTTGAGCCGGTAGCTTTGACCCTCCAGCTGGGCCTTCGCTATCAACACCCGCGCGTCCGCATGCAGTCCCGCAAAAGCGCAGCACAGGCCGTCGTCAAGCAGGAGCAATTTACGGCTAGTCCTGCATGCAACCAAAACCTTGAACTAAACAGGAGAGCATACGCACTGGGATCTCAATATCCCGAAGCGTGGGGACAGTGGGCCATCCTCCAATAGTCAGGAATTCGCACACTGCAAACACTAAGTGGCACCTGGGCTCTTGCAGCTTCGCTGCTGCCTTCCTCTCTACCGCAAGCACCACCGCATCTTTTCCCCTCACGCCCACAACGCAGCCGCCCCGCCTAACGGCCTCGATGGCGTACTCCACCTGTGGAGAAACAGCCCAATCATAAGCCCTACAGCCTAGAGCCCAGTCTCGGTGCTTCCACGTGTGCGGCTGCATTATCAGCATAATTCGCCTATCAGCTGCAGATGCTACCGCTGTTGCTGGTGGTTCTCTTGTTGTTACTGATGCAGCCGACACAGTGTGCAAGACATTGGATGGAATGTGTGTGACCTGCAGGAGGTGCCCGTCAGGGGAGAAGACGGTGATGGCTCTGTCATAGCTCATCTTCTGTCAGTGTTATTGCCGTTACTGCTGCTTCGGCTGCTGCCGCTACTTCTGCTGTATGCCACGCCGTCTGCGCAGACTACAACTGCAGCGTTTCCCCAAGCAGGGGTCTGTTGCGGGTCTGGTCGCTGCAGCCTGCCAACTGAGAGCTTGTTGTAAATGTTAAACAAAGAAAGCAAAGAGAACACACGTGAGCCGCCAGAAGAGACGGCCAACTTTCAAAAGCCACCTGTGGAGGCAGTTCCGCTATTGCTGCCGCTGCCACTGAGGTTACCTCCACTGCTGAGAAACTCAATGTGTCTGTTTTATTCTAGTTGCATTTCCTGTTGAATACAACAAGAAAAAAAACGAATGAGACAAACTACACATACCCGAATCTCCATCACAGCCGAGGGGGTTGCGCTCTGCATGCGGGGGCAGCGGTAGTCCTTAGACGGCTGCTGTCCTTAGTCCAGTTTAGCTATTGAGCTCACAATTTTGATTCGGGAGTATGCTCGAATCTAATCACTTGTTACTTCATTTGTGGGAGGTTTAGCCTCCGGTTCATACGTGAGGAGCAGAGAGCTAACTCTGGAGACCGTCGCTTCGAGCTAGTACCTTTTTTGGAACTCTATTCAACTCATTTGAAAGTAGAAACCTACATTCAACGCTGTGGCATGCGGTCAACTCAAAGTTGGCAATCGTATATTCCTTGCTGCGCCATTATAGGTTCGGAAGAGCTTCCGCCCTTGCCATCGATTGCGGCAGATAGCGAGTAGACTCGAAAAGTTGTCGTATTCTGTAGAAACAAGCACGATGAGGGGGATTCATGGCGTAAAGCGCAGTGCAAAAGCTATAGCGAAGGCCTTGGTGAGGCTCTAGAGACCACTGTGTGCCGGACGGTTTAGCGAGGGAGAAACGTACGGAAACTAGTACAGTGACTGGAGCAGCAGAAGAAGTTCTTACGCTTGTAACAACGCTGTGCCGCACGAGAACGAAGCCTACGCCGACACCCAGCATATCAATATCGGCGGAGCACGCACTCCTTAACACTTGTTCATTTTTATGCGCCAGATCTGTTATTCGTGTGTGCAATACACGCGAGGGCTGGCAACCTCACTGGCGATACGTACGCACAACGGAAGAGTCATTCACACCAGGTGCTGTTTTAGGAGCATACTGTATGTAGTACGCATGCGATACTTATTATGGTTTTACCTGTTTGGCATTGGCCCATATTTGAAAAAAGTGCAAAAAGCCTTCGCCGTACACACTGTGGAGCTCTGGGCCAGTGCCATAGCCGGGAGGGAGAACCCCGATTCAAGCGCTTTTCATAGAATAAAACAGCAAATCAATTTTTCCACTTTGTTGCAAATGGCGTCCTTTTACGTGATGTGGGGAAATGTTTGTCTTGCCTAGACACACAATATTTGGAAATTCACCTAGCACAACAGTCACAAAGTATGACTCTCCCGCAGATGACCAGTCTGCAAAAATGTCCGCTGTGAGGAATCCACGATTTTACCAGGCATACAGCTATCCCCCAAAGATTTGGTTTCTTCAGGGAGGCAGAATCTTCCCAACTGGCTGGGCATTCCCGGAGGAACAAAATGACTCCAGCGACTGCGCTGGGTACTCAAACAAATGCAATGTTTCTGGCCTCCCTTTTGGTAGTGTACGAAGTGGCAGTGCTTCCGCTCCTCCATCCTGTTTATTTCCAGTAGCAAAAACCAGCTCGCAAGACAAGCAGACTCGCCCACCAGTTCTTTCTTCAGTAAGAAAAGGATCCAGGAGCACATAAGTAGGTAAGAATTCATTTGTGCACGTCTTCTAAGCAACAGACTAGCAAGCGACCTTCAGGTTTGCGGGGTAGGATTTCAGAACACTAGAACAAACGGCAGAATAAGCGGGTTGTGCTTCCACTGAATAGTTGTCACGCTAATGCAAAAGAGTGCCTGAGCCTTTAACTGTTGCGCTGCAGTCGATATGCATATGCGTTTTCTGGTGCTGTTACACATTCAAAATGTATTTTTGCGTGCACTGAAGTCTACCGCTCTGTTGTTGTAGACGAAGATGGTTTTGTACGGCACAACCAGTTCGACGGGATCTGTTGCTCTGAGAAGGTTCCAGAGATATCGACAAGAATAGTTCCAGCTTACCACTAAAAATTCAGCATCAGTGTGTAATATTTGGCCCAGTGTAAATATGGGGTTGGTGATATATTTGCTCGACCATTACAAATGACTTCCGCAGAAACGACAAACCCTCGCAACTTAGTTTCACCGGCGCTGTAGTGCACAGCAACAACTGCTGCGACCACGGTGCTACCTGCCCCCTTGAGTAGGGGCCTATGATAACCCTCTACCTTCGGCGCATTTCCCTGAAACATTAGCCCAAATATCACGAAACACATTAATTTTTCAGCTTTCAAAATCTGTTCTCTTGAAAATCCCCCCACTCACGGTTCTGGCCTTCTAGGCCCTGTGGTGAGGATGTAGTGCACAGGCACTGCAATAGGGCTTGCTGGCGACCTATAGAAGATAGCTAGCTAGCGACCTACAAGGGGTCGCAACACTGGAGGAGGACAGGACCCTCTTACTAGGATCAAAGTAAGGCAATCTGTCTGCGAAATAACATGCATACACTAGAGGTGCCTGACAATGCGTGGAGACTGGGGCTGGCGATAGCGCCGGCACCAGTGCAAACTTCCTCCCCACAGGGCCTAGGAGGCGAGCACCCCAAGTGGGGGTGATTCTAAGATGACAGATTTTGGAAAACTAAAAATAACTGTATTTCGTTATATTTGGGCTACTGTTTCAAGGAAATGGTCCAACGTTAAATGCTGATCATAGGCCCCTGCTCGAGGGGGCAGGTAGCAGCGTAGTCGCAGCAGTAGGCGCTGTGCACTACACTGATGCCTTGTCTCGCCGTCCCGGTCTCTCTAACACCTGCTCGCACGACACACTAACGATACCATTGATGCTTGCAGTAGAACAAACGCGCGCGGTTCCTCGCTCTCGTGGTCGGCCTGCTAACTACAGGGAGCTCGCCGGCACTCGTTGGCGACGACCAAGACGACTCACCTTGCCATCACCACATTCAACTCCGCCGCCTGAGCCCAATGCAGAGGCGAAACATTCTACACCTGCAAGAAAGACACGAGCTGACCCTCCTGCGGCGACTGAATGGCCGCAAATCTACTCGAAGTGTCCTGTTTTCTCCGCTCCCTACGAAGTCGCTGCAAAACAACAAGGAGACGCTATACAGAGAGAGCTTCGCAGTCATCACGTCACCTTTCGCGATGTGCCGCCTTACTCGCACATTTGTATTCATGTTTTATGGCGAACCTTTGTTCCACAATTCCCTGACTTTCTTACGCATGTCTTGCATTCACATCATGACCATGTGATAGCCGGCCATCGAGGCCAAAAGAAGACCTTCACAGCTCTGAGCAAGCACTACTACTGGCCAGGGATGCGTGCTTACACTACTGCGTATGTTGAACCCTGTACTCACTTTCGTGCGTCTAAGTCTCTCAGCCAGAAACCTGCAGGCCTTCTTCAACAGCTACTCATTCCTTCGCGTCGGTGGGCACAAGTGAGCCTCGATTTTATCACAGATCTTCCTCTTACGACGACAGGGCACGACTCGATTCTCGTGATGGTCGACTCCCTCAGCAAGATGGCTCATTTCGTTCCTGCAAAGAAGTCATTCACAGCAGCAGACACCGTGGAGCTTCTCGCAGACCGTCTTATCCGCTACCACGGATTTCCAGAGGTACTCATATCGGATCGCGACCCCCGTTTCCAGTCAGACCTCTGGCAACAACTATGTCACCGCTTTAACATCAAACAGTGCATGTCCTCGTCCTACCATCCCCAAAGCGACGGTCAAACTGAAAGGGTTAACCGCACACTGGAGCTGATGCTTCGTACTTATATCAAATCTGACGAACGCGAGTGGGAGCGTTTGCTTCCGGCGTTGGAACTTGCTTACAACACAACAAGTGATTCATCCACCGAGCTCTCTCCCTTGAGGTCATGATTGGCGAGAACCCGTTGACTGCTGCGAACCTTGATATCGTGGGCGCGTTAGCCCCTACGCTCACCCTTCTGATGACTAAGCTCTTCCGGCAACTCTGCGACAGAGCACAGAGCCACATACAGAAGGCAAAATGGCAGCAGAAATATTACGCAGACAAAAAACGCCGAGCTGTGGAGTATGCAGTGGGCGACAAGGTTTGGCACAGCAGCAAGCATCTACCGGCTTAATCTAGCTGCCCGAAGTTCGAGCACCGTTACCGAGGACCCTTTCAAATCATTGAACGAATAGACACCGTCGCTTACAGTCTTGCTTTACCTCCTACTTATGAATGCCACAACGTTTTTCATGTTTCGCAGCTAGTTCCCCACCGCCCCCGCCCTCCACACTTGGTTCCCCCGAAAGCTGACGCCGCCTGGCCCCCTATCCGCAATACAGCAGGCAATCCGACGGAGGAGTACGAGGTCGACTATATTATGGACCAACGCGGCTCAGGCGCGGACGCCCAGTACCTCGTGAAGTGGTGCGCTATTGCCAGCCCCAGTCTCCATGCATTTTCAGGAACCTCTAGTGTATGCATGTTAATTCGCAGACAAATTGCCTTACTTTGATCCTAGTTAAGAGGGTCCGTTCCCCCTCCAGTGTTGCGACCCCTTGTAGGTCGCTAGCTAGCTATCTTCTATTGGTCGCCAGCAAGCCCTATTGCAGTGCCTGTGCACTACAACTGGGCTGCATCTCCCGAGCGGCGTTGGTCCGCATATAGTCGACTTCATATTCCCCTGTTGGACTGCCTGCTGCATCGCAGATAGGAGGCCAGGCGGCGTCGGCTTCCACGGGAACCAAATCGGGAGGGCGGGGGCGGTGAGGAACTAGCTACGAGACGTGGAAAACGTTGTGGCATTCATAGGTGGGGGGCAGGGCGAGACGGTAAGCAACGGTCCCTATGCGTTCGATGACTTCAAAGGGTCCGCGGTAACGGGGTTCGAACTTAGGGCAGCTGTTGAAAGGCGGTAAGTGCTTGCTGCTGAGCCAGACCTTGTCTCCCACTGCATACTCCACAGCTCGGCGTTTTTTATCTGCGTAATATTTCTGCTGCCATTTTGCCTTCTGTATGTGGCTCTGTGCTCTGTCGCAGAGTTGCCGGAAGAGCTTAGTCATCAGAGGGGTGAGTGTAGGGGCTAACGCGCCGCGCCCACGATATCAAGGTCCGCAGCAGTCAACGGGTTCTCGCCAATCATGACCTCGAAGGGAGAGAGCTCGGTGGATGAATCACTTGCTGTGTTGTAAGCAAGCTCCAACACCGGAAGCAAACGCTCCCACTCGCGTTCATCAGATTTGATATAGGTACGGAGCATCTGCTCCAGTGTGCGGTTAACCCTTTCAGTTTGACTGTCACTTTGGGGACGGTAGGACGAGGACATGCACCCTTTGATGTTAAAGCGGCGACAGAGTTGGTTCCAGAGATCCGACTGGAAACGGGGGTTGCGATCCGATATGAGTACCTCTGGAAAACCGTGATAGCGGATAAGACGGTCTGCGAGAAGCTCCACGGTGTCTGCTGCTGTGAATGTCTTTGCAGGAACGAAATGAGCCATCTTGCTGAGGGAGTCGACTATGACAAGAATCGTGTCGTGCCCTGTCGTTGTAAGGGGAAGACTCACGTTCGCCCACCGATGAGAAGGGATGAGTAGCTGTTGAAGAAGGCCTGCAGGCTTCTGGTTGAGGGACTTTGACGCTCGACAGTGAGTGCATGACTCTACATAAGCAGTAGTTTAGGCGCGCATTCCTGGCCAGTAGTAGTGCTTGCTGAGAGCCGCAAAGGTCTTTTCCTGGCCTCGATGCCCGGCTGTGACATGGTCGTGATGTGAATGAGGAGCTTGAGTAAGGAACTCAGGGAATTGTGGGACGCAGATGCGCCACAGTCCATAAACGCGGATGTGCAGGTAAGGCTGGACGTAGCGAAAGGTGAATTGGCGATTACGAAACTCTATTTGCAGAGCTTCTCCTGGTTGGTTTGCTGCGGCTTTGTAGGGAACACGAAAAACGGGACATTTCGAGTAAGCTTGCGGCCAATGGCGCATATCAGGAGGGTCAGCTGGTGTCTTCGTTGTGAGTGTAGGATGTTCCACCTCTGGATTGGGTTCCGGCGGCGCAGGCGAAGGTGCGGACGGCAGGTTGCGTCGTCTGGGTCGTCGTGAACGAATTCCGGCGAGCTCCCTGTAGTTGGCAGCCCGACCACGAGAGCGGGGAGCCGCGCTGGCTAGTCCTACTTCGAGCATCAGTGGTGTCGATGGTGTGTCGTGCGAGCATGTGTTAGGAAGACCGGGACGGCGAGACAAGGCATCAGCAACTTGATTGCGCGCCCCTTGAACATAAGTGGTGTGCAAATCCGGGAGCTCCGCAAGAAAATCTAGCCACCGGGATGTGCGTCCGCGCAGAGGCTTCGATGTTTGGAGTCATTGGAGATGGGTGAGAGCTTGATGATCAGGGTAAGCCGTTACTTTGGAAACACGGAGCAAGTGCGACCACTTGTCCAGTCCATGACCAACGCCAAGAGTTCCTGATCGTAGATCGAGTATCTCTGTTGCATGGGGTTCATGACTTGGCTGAGGAAGCCGATGGGCTTGCCGTCTTGTTCCAGAACTGCTCCGATCGCATAACCAGAGGCGTCCGTGTATAACTCGAAGAGTTTCGTGGTGTCGGGGACTTGTAATGTAGTGAAGTCGATTAAGCGCTGTTTGTTTGTTTGAGCTGCCGCACCGCTTGATCGGAACTATAGATAAGTACATCATCTAGGTACGCAATAACCCCCTATCCCAACAAAGGTTGTAGATAGGCATTAGTATTGGCCTGGAACGTAGCGGGAGCACCCTTAAGGCCAAAGGGCATTACTCGGTACTCGAATAGCCCGAGAACGGACCGGAAAGCTGTCTTCCACCGGCCTTCCTTAGCCATACGTATTTGATGGAATCCTGCTTCAAGATCCAAAGTGGAAAAATACTTGGCGCCTCCCATCATCTCCAGAATGGTTTGATTGGGAGGTAGCGGAAAATCAGGGACTATCGTAAAGGCATTTAGAGCCTGGAAATTAACAACCATAAGCATCTTCCGCTCACCGGAGCCATCATCACGCTTGTCTACCATGATCGTAGGAGGGCAAATAGGCGAATGGGTCGGTCCAATCCAACCATTGTCCGATAATTTAGCTATCTCCTGTTTGTGGAATGTGAGCTGATCTGGGGTCATACGGTACTTTGCAGATTTCTCTGGAAGTTTTCCAGGCACAAGTAGGATATGGTGATCATGAGGGGGCTTCGGCGGTAATCCCTTAGGTAAGTTATCGGGAAAGACCGCTCGATACTCCCGCAACACCTGGACAATCTCACATGGAATATGCTGCCCCTCCGTCAAATTTTTTCATTCATCGAACAGAGTGTGCTCGAGTTTTGCCATAGGCCAGGGAGACTCCTCGTCACTCTCCGCTGCCGCCGAGGCGATTGAGGCCCCAGCCGGAGGACTTGGGTTGATTCCCAATTAACGCGCAGCAAAGCGCGCCTTGCGATTCATCCGAGAACATTAGGGGCACCGCCGAACGGGCTTCGGGAAAAGCCAGTATGAGATGCAAACCGTGGAATGGAGCCCTGAGACTCTTTGTGTCAGCCGCCGCCTGACGAACGAGCGAGGTTATCCGCGCCTGCGCCTTAGTCTTCGCGTTGGACTTATACCTCCTTGGCGACGGGCGTAGGAATATAGCTGCCTCCTCGGCTGACATACCTGCCACTTGTTTGGCCAGTTATCTCTTATGCTTGCTCTGCCGGGGTCCTTGGGTGGACTAGGGTGGAGCTGTCACTTTGCAGCTTTGCTTCACCAGTCCTAACGACCGGCAACTCGCACCGCTGGTCATTCACATAGGTTCGGAGTTTGTCGGAGCGGAAATACCAGGCCACCTTGCATTCCGTCAGCCAATCCATGCCCAAGACTAAGTCATAGGGAACGGGTCCCACTAAAATGTCCCCGGAAAAACGTGCATATCCGCATCACATCGTCAATCCCGTCACAACCCGATCAATGCGCAATTGTTCACGTGTAGCTACAGCGAACCTATGCTCTTCTGGAAGTTTCTGCACCTTCAGCTGCAGTCGTTCGACTGTTTTAGGACTAATGAAACTTTTCAAGCCCCAGTGTCCAAGAGGGCCTCACAGGGACTCCCTGCGAGCTCAACACGAAGTACCGCCGTCGCACCCACATAACACAATGCTTCCCCTTGGTTGTAAGGCTCTTTCGTGCAAGTTTCCCTCCACCAGTGTGGCACAATCTCTGTCGCGTCTGATCCATAGCCGTCTTCTGTTGCCTCTGCAGACTTCCTGCTGCTATCCGTCGTCGCTCCCGGAGCCTCTTCACTCAGGATCGACGCCGACCCAGACTTCCACCGCGTTTCCAAAAGCGGATGAGCCCCTTCCGCGTGCCCACCACTCGTATTACTTTCTTCCGCAGTGCTGAGGAGTTGGTTTCCCCACTCAAGGGAGACTGGAGTGGCATTAGGGCCAGTTGCTACTGCACAAATCATCCCTTTGCCATCGCTACGCGGCCTAGAACGCTTGTCTCCAACCAATACGTTAGAGCCGGGCCCACAAGGTGGTCAATAAGTCCGTTTCCCCACTCGCGCGGCTCCAATCACATCTGGGTGTACCGGCACTCGATGCGCAGCAGAAAGACCTGCATAGTGCTGCCGTCTTCTGATAGTATGGTAAACGGTGCGCCCGATTCCACGTTCCCCCCTATAATAGTTTTTATCACACTCATAGCGGACTGGAATTGGTCCCACATGAGGAAGGGACTATCCCCTGGCATAACATGCACTACAATGACAATGGAGGGTCCACCTACAGTACTGAGTCAGAAGCAGTATTCACAGAGGCTGGAGCGCTATCCGTTTTATGCTGGCATTTCTTCTCCCAATATAAATTTCATTATTATTGAAAAGGCATAGCTATTTCTTAAATTCCACCGCGCTTCGCTCACGGGGCCCTATGCTTTGAACTTTCTGACGCACTACAATCTTCGCTACAATCACTCTTAGAACGCTTCCTCTGCCAAATTGCAGAAGAAGCCAATGGTATGCCCATTCTGTAATGGCTGGCAGAATATCCCTTGCATCTTTGACTCCGCACTGCCCCCTCGTTTTGCTGTGTGCCTCTGCGCGTGCTGCGCGTTACGGTTACTCCAGCCGCTGTCACCATTTGAGCCGAAGCCTCTTTTGCTATTTCTTCCCGTAAGCTTTTATATGTTAACACTGCACTGTGCGGCGTCAGCAACTGCCGTCTACGCTGTTCTTTGTCACAATTACAGTCTATCATAAAAACCGAGTGCAGCAGCTGTTATGCGTCCCCCAATAGGCCACAAGGTTCTTTTCCTTTGCCCCGTGGCACTCTCCATCAATACGCCCTATATTGTGAGTGGAATCCTATTCTTGGTGTCTAAGTGACCCTATGTAAGAACATTCATGGGTCACGTGCCTCTCCATGGACAGCCAAAAACTTACCGCGACTACACCGTAGCAGAAATGTGACTGTAGTGCAGTAGGTCCCGCAATGAAGAAACGAACGGCCGCACAAGCTGTTTTCAACGCCTCCTGAAGAGATTGGTGCGGGAGTGAGCTAATTCCACAGGGCCCAGTTCGCTTGCGCCAGAGCTCTCTTGCTCCCGCACACTCCTTCAGCTTCTTGGCCAAGTGAGATGCATGACAATTAGGCAGATCATCTTACAGCTCTACTTCAGGGGCATGGAGAAGCTTGAGATGATCATTTGCCCTAATTTGTCGTTCTCTCGTGCAAATTGAAGGCCCAGGCAGAAGCATCCAAAGAACTAATTGATGCGTGTTCAAAAATGTGGCCGAAGAAGCGTTCTGCCTCTGACCTCCTCTATAACCTACACTATTAGTTCCTCTGGGCTATATCTTTTAGACTTTTTCTTCTGCGTCTCTGGTTCTGGAGGTAACTGGGACCTCGTCAGAGAGCGACAGTTCCCTTCAGTCCGCTCGGAGCTACTGCTAAACGATCATAAGGGCGCAACTGCCGATCGCGGGAACCAAAAATTCCGTCGACTGTAGGGTCCTCGAGGTGGCCTCTGCTTCCCACACAGTCCATTTTGGGTCTCAGCATGAAGACTAATGCGGAGTCACCCAACGTCACCAAGGCCCACGTGCTGTTCGCTTTGTCCACACGTGAGCTCAAGACCGAGCTTTGCTACGTCGCTGCAGTTACAAAATTAATTTTGCTGCCAAATGTTCCTGATTAAAAGTTGTGCGCAGTACACTTACCCCCATATGTCGCGGTTGCCTCGCTGTATACAGCAGGGTTGCCGACCCACCCACTGAGCGCTTCCGAACGACGACCCACATGGTGAACGATGGCATCGGGGGTAGTACTGATTACTACACTTAGACCAACAACCGGGGGAAAATAATGAGGGCTAGAGAAAAGGACTCTTGGAGGAAGTGTTGCGCAAGGTCCACCACGGCAAGACCACGTGCTTTTTAGGGCTGGCAGGAGCTGCACGCAGTACGACGAATGCGCGGTGTCTAGCCAGCGCCCCGTCAGGTGGCGCCTGGGGCTACGAAGCAATGCACATGAGTAAAAAAGATAGTTTCAAACCGTAAGAATGCTAGAAGCAAATAAATAAATAATAAGCTGACGTAATAAGTCATATTGCTGTCCACACCGTGGCGCAGTTTAAGAGGAGCCAAGCCTGTAGGTTGCGTTCACACTACTACAGGGGAATAGTGTTTAAGCCTTTTTGTGTCTATAGAAGGCTCATTGTCCATTTGGTAATGCGTGAGTTATGTGTTCTGGTTAGATAGCTAGAGAGTGGTGCTAGGCGTTTATACCACTGGGCCACCACGCATATGCAGGCGCCTAGCAGCTACATGCAAACAAAAGGAAGCGTGTCAATTGACGGATTGATAGTGCCCTAGTATATATAAAGCTAAGCAGTATCTGCACATTCAGGCCTTTTCTTTCAAGAGCTTTCTTGAAGGGTAGGACACTCTCCACAATTCTGGGACATCGAAGAATAACCCTACTGCTACGATGACCACACACCAGCAAAGCTCAAGTAGCGAAGAGTCAGCCAAGGGATAGCGCCTCTGGCGATTCGTACCGCGTAGAGCGAGAAAGAGCAGCCAAAGGCCTTTTACTGGTCTTTTTCGCGGAGCACACATATAAGCAGAGGCATGAGTAACCTCCGCAAAGGCTACACACGGACCAACTAAGAAGATTTGGGTCCAGCGGCATGCAACAGGTCATGAAGCCAAAATAGCGGAGAAAAAGCAAACCCAGGGTCACCTATGATAGAGGATTCGTGTCAATTGAGGTGAACGAAAATATAAGGAGTGAATAACGAGCACTGCTCTTCTAGAGAAAGAGGGTTGGTCGCTAAGAGGAAAAGACAACGACAAAACAAGTATCTTTGGGGTCCTGCGGCTAGCTTAGGAGAGTCGTTCGAGACTTATAGCCGATCTTCAAAGAAAGAGAGCACTCACTTGTTCCTTGAAGTCTTCATCCATGCTATGGTTATCTGAAAAACGTATTGGAAATAGTTTGAAAGTGCGTCGGACAGAGATCTCAAAGACGAGCCCTCATGCCATGGTTCCTTTTAACTGGGCAGAGGCCTCAAAGGTACGCACTCGTGCCATAATTGCTTAACGAGCTTTCCAATAATATTGCTAGCGCATCTATCTCCGGTGAAAATAATATCTCCCAAGGACAAACTACGGAAAATTCTTAGCGTAGTGCGCTATTGTAGCTATGGAGCTGGAGGCGACGTCTCGCTGGGGTAAACCTTGCCTGCGAACGCACAACGGCTTGTCGTTTTTCGGGCAACAGGCACGAAGAAATCGGAGCGGGCCCCAGTCTTCTTCATACAGCGATAGCACTTCCCAAACTGTCTCTTCCAACGGCAGGCCGTCACTTGCTTTAAAAATACCATTCTACCCTCATATGGGAGAGAGTTTAACTACTTCATCTTCTTCCTATTAGCTCAATCATTCTTCGGGAACAATTGAGTTTTTTAAAAATCCAGAAAAACCAGAAATGATCTTTAAGTATTCCATGTAACATAATAGCTGTGAATAAAATAGTGTTTCGGCAGAAACACTCCCTACCCCTTCCCAAACTTCATCCGGGCTTCATGTAAAGGTAGTCAGAGCCCTGTAGATCATTCATATGATGTGTAGTGTCCTGGAAATGCCTTTGATAAACATCATCGCCCCAAATCATTGCTTGAAGGTGATGAAGCTTTCGCTGAAGTGACGGTTTCTTTGCCGTTGTGAGTCAGGCTCCCTTAAGCCTAATGTAACCCGTGACCGGGGTGAGCTACCTGTCTGGTGATGATTTTCTGTTGGTGTTAGGCATGATTTCAAGGCATAATAATTCCACCCTCCCACGTCGATGCAGCTGGCTAGGAAACCAGCAGTTACAATGTCCCCAATGCAAAAGGTAAGCATATGTCAGGTCGAAATATCCTCTTTACTGCCTCATGAGGGTCATCTCTCAGCTACGAGACGGGCCAAACCACAGAGGGACTCTTCCCCGAGCGCTGTTCCTGGTGGTTGCTGGGCCTTATACCGACTTTGCTATCTGAAGGCACCATAGTATCTCTGCGAAAAGAGTGTATGCACGTGACGTCTGTATGTTCGTGCGAAATGTGTTTAACGTCTGTACTATGTGCATTGAGTGAGCGTTCCTCAACAGTGGTACAGGCAACGTACCCAATACAAGTTGGTCCAAATAGCTTCCGAGCTACTGCAGCACGGTCAATAAAGTGCCTGGCTTTACGGTATTGCTTACATTGCGTTTGGGTGCACATTATGCTCCAATGCCCCACGGAAACACCTGCTCAACTACGTCATGGATGTACCCCATCTGACTACACAGCTTACCTTCCAAGCTGCCACGGAGTAGACTACAGTCTCACTGATATTTAGTTTACTTGTCACTGCTCACACTACTTCGAAAACTTGCCGGTACGAAGGGCGAAATCAATCCGGCGCCAGCCCAATTTGTACGCGAAGAAACCCCAATAGACGCTGCGCCAGCGCCTCCCAACCTACCCCCTTGAACAGACGAGGCAGCGGGCTCTCAACATAAGCACTGGTTCAGAAAAGCTACAGCTACGCGTAGCACCTCCTTAGTAGCGGCACGATCGGCTACCGACGCATTCAACAGCTTCGAACCTCTACAGGTACCCAATGATCAACAATCTCGGAGACTATCTACCTAAGAAGCAAAGAGGATTTATTCTCCACAGCAGTGCACTAGCACGACTGCGTTGGATGCATACCGCTGGGAAATTTTGGTAGAGTAAAATAAACATATATTCTCGCTGTCACCTCAAGAAACAAAGAGGCTCCACTTCCTACAGCAGAGCAGCAGTGACACCGCTTCAACCACATGCTGGCGACGGTGCTGCTGCAGTACTGCACAATGCCGCTACAAGACAAACGGCCGATTTATGACTTTCGCTGCGTTTTCAGTACCTACTCTTCCTGTCTCCTTATGAAGTCACTGCCTCCGCACTACACAATGCCGCGGTATTACACGGGGTTGCTGCGGGATTTTCCACTGCGTCTGCGCGTCCCCGACGTCTCCAACTCGAATGCCTCTGACTTGTCTAGTCAGTGGTGGTTTTGCCCCATAGCTCACTACTCTGCTAGCAGAGAAGCCGTCAACAACATCACATGTCACTAGAGACTACCGCCAAGCCATTATATGTCATGCACCTCACATTCGCCTCGACGAGCATTGAGAGTGGGTGCTTGTTGTGAACCCTTGCCTCGCCGCTGTTTCTGCAGCATGGAACCTAATGGATGAAGGCCTGTTCTGGCTGGCCTCCACATCTTCAATAGTAAGACGGTTGCACGACGCGAGGGGCTGCGGCCTGCTCGATGACGAAATCGCCTGCACTGAAGGCATTGAGTGAAGTTCTTGCTGGTAGTGCCACTGTTCCTGCAGCAGCTGCTGCTGCTTATACTGCCAGCAGTCACTAGAGAACTCCTCTAAGGAGAGGTAGCTCCCCACAGAGCCGCATGTTCCATGCCAGTTGCATGGCGTCTTGTCCATTGGTGCCTCTGCTGTTGGTCTTGAGGTCGTTACTGCAGGATCATCCAAAACGTGGTTCCACTTTGACCTGGAAAAACTGCCAAACCGCGACGCCGCCTCCGCTGGGAAAAACTCAGGGTTGCTGGCCACCGGCGACAGCCTCAACTGATCTCCTACTGCTGCGACTGCTGCCCCTGCAGCTGGTACGCCACTGTACTGGGTGCAGTCTTCGGCAAAGCTGCTCTGGTTCATGACAATCCCATCTTCCTGTGCAATTTGGTCATCTTGCCATACAAGTCCATTTGCAGCCCGCCGTCTATTTCGCAAATGCTGTTGTCCCTGCACGTGCCACATTTGCTGCATCTGTAGCATCACCGTTTGCTGCTGCTGCTGCTGCTCCAGCTGCGTCGGTCCAAAAGCCTCGTGTCCGCACAGCATACTTCCTGGCGCCACTGGTAAGGGGCTCTGCAACGGAGTGTTGTCCCTTCGGTGTAGCGGTCGCACAAGACCACACCACTCATCATCCTGAGCAGCATCTACTTCTTCTGGTCCCCCAACGTAGTAGTTGTTGCTCTGACTGTGGATTTGGGCGCCACTGTGGCTGTTTCGGCAATTGTTATGGGTGCCGCTGCTGCTAGTACCGATCGAAGAAGAGAAGCCGTCTTCGAAAAGCAACCCTGAAGCGAAAGATGGCACCTCAGCTTTCGCTGAGGTACCGCGAAACGCGATAGCAGGACAGGAAGGCAACATAGTCTTGCTGCTGCACACTTCCGTCAAGTACGGGGGTCCTCGCGTGATGGGGGACTGAGATTCGGGGGTGCAGCAGAGAGAGCTTGAGCTGCTGAAGCTGCCACCCAAACTGCTGCTACTGCTACTGCTACTGTATTCTCCTGCTGTTCTCCCTACAGTTGTCGCGCAGCTCCAGTCACTGCTCTTCCGGGGGTTCAAAAGGTACGCATCTGTCGCATGAAGTGGCTGGAAAGGGCTCTTCCCACACCATGTCTGTCCCGAGTCAATACTGCACTCGCTCCAGGATTTTGATGCTGAGCTCTGCTGTTCTGCAGCCACCGCGGGAAGCAAGGCTACGGGTGCACTCCCGAGGGAGACGCTGCTGCTGCTCTTGATGCTGCTACCACTGTTGCCGGTGCTGCTGGTGCTGCTGTTGCTGCTGATTCGTCCAAATGTCTTCCGGTCGTACGTGGCAGCGCTATCTATGAGGGGTAGACGAGGATACAGTGGTATGACGCCTAATGATTCGCCCGCTCCTCTCACTGCTGCTCTTGCGCAGTATGCTACTGCCTCCTGCGTTGATGCCGTTCCCTCTTGTGTAAAAGCTGGCAGCACCATGGGCCCTTCACCATCGAACTGTGCGTGGTTCTCCCCAGGAAGGTCAACGTTCCTGTTGCAACCATCTGTGCTGAGCGTGTCGTTTGCAACCTCGAAAGGAATGAACGAAAGCGAATCCCCACTACCAATGGACGCATGATTTGGAGGCTCAGAAGTCACCTCCGGATCAACTAAAGCAACGTCGATGGCTGTCTGGTGCTGGCAGCGTTGAGAGGGAGCCCAGTTGGATTCCTTGTGTGTGTCTGCAAGTCCGTGAGAGTCCTCTGGGGGCGATAAACCTCGGCAGCCAGGCAAGGACCGATTTCGCGCCGAATCGAGCCTGAACAGTAGAGCAAGGACGCGGTGAACGAAGAGGCTCCGACGGTAAGTCCCCAGCACGCGCAAGGCAAACCAGCTACAACGCACTACAGGAGATTCACCTCGACTATACAGCTGGCTAGCTGAAAGTGGCGCAAACTACCCATACTTGGTGCAGCAGCCTCGCCCGCTACTGCAACAGCTACTGGCGCTCCTGTACAGAGTTAAGACACAGAGCTGCCGCAGCTTTACGTGTGTCGTAGAGAATTCACCATGGGTGCTCTAGTGCCTCTGCTGCTGTCTGAATACGTTTTCTTGGGTCCATCTCCAGGAGTCTGCGACACAAGTCTTGCGCCGAGGGAAACTCAACAAGCGAGGCAGCTTCGAAGTCAATACCCCCTTGTTGCTCGGAGACCTGCTTCACCACAGCCAGAGCAGAACGTGCCGACGTCATGAACTCCATCGGAAGGGGAGGGGAACCCTGAAAATCACACATGGAAGGACAGAAACTAGCAGACACTGATTTCGAAAGTGCGTGTTCATTCTCATCATTTTTCCTGCTTCTACCCCTTACTTACGGTATGCCCTTACTCCTTCACTGCCTGCATGAGCAAATCAGTGCGCTCAGCGCTATCTCTATGAGTATGTTGCCACGCCCCATTCATCTAACTGTCCAAAGCACTTGCAATATGTGCTGTGCTGCAACTAGAGAGCACAGTCCTTCAGTTGTCTGTGTATCTCCCTTCAGCATGCCTTTTTCATTTTCTCATTCAGAGTTTACATATTGAAAGCCACGGTCCCGCACTCTCCACACCCCATCCACTTTTGAGAGAAGACCAACTCACCGTCATTAGGATATACAGGATAACTCCGACACTCCATAAGTCCGAGGCAGGGGTGTAGCAGCCCGACTTGAGCACTTCAGGTGCCAAGTAGCCGTATGTACCCACCAGCCGTCGATGTGGAGTGACGGCCTCATTAGAATTTCCTGAAGGGTCGTCGATGAACATCGACGTGTCAAAGTCTATGAGCAGCAGCTCGTGCTGCTCCTCCATTGACAACAGAGGAGGCTCTGCGCTGCGGTTGACCCTCTGCGCTACGCCTGCTGTTGCTCTCTCCACCTCTTCCAGATGTTTCTTTTCCTCTTCGTCTACCTCTAGTTGCTGTTGACTTTCCTGCTGATGATTTCGCTGCTGCAGCCGTGTGGCAGCGGCAGAAGCAACGTGGCTGCGTACGCGTCGGCGAAACATGAGATTCTCGGGCTTGACGTCCCTGCGCCCAAATACAACCGGGAAGAAGGGAGGAACAAACCACTATGGCTTCACCATCGTGCCATGACTACGGCGAAGAAACGACACAGAGCGCTCCGATATGACAGTGGAACTACCCGAGCCTTTGGGGCAATCTCGTACTGAAGTTTGACGTACCTGTGAAGCAGGTTGTGTCTGTGCAGATGATCCAACGCCCTGAGAATCTGCACCATTATGAACTGACACACGTCCTCGTGCACCGTCTTTTCCCGCAACAAGAAGTCAAAAAGCTCTCCACCCTCCAGTTGCTCAGACGCGAATACATATGCCTCCGAAGTCTCCAAGACAGCCTCGAACGACAAAACGTTAGGGTGAGGCGGCAGGTTCAACAAGTGCGTGCACATGCGTCGCCAGGAACTGCAAAAGCCACACCAAAACTGAACTGAGGACCGTAAACACCACGTCGTACCTGTTGATCTCAACCAAGCGCATTAGACCCCAATACTAATATAATCACTGTGCTACTGATAAAGTATGCACCCTCTCCGCTAAAGAACAAGCGGACAAACGACTACGGCAGAGGACTCAGGATTGAGAGCTATGTGTTCTTCGGTTTGGATCTACTTCTCTGCTTCAGATTGCAGCGCCCCTCGCTTCTTCTTGATAACTTTGAGCACTCTCTTTTCGCGTCGTTCGTCCCCGGTAACAGCGTGGTAAAGTAGCGGCCGGTTGCCGTCTCCTGGAGACACCCCTTGGCATGCATTCCGCTGACCCGGCTTCAGTCTGTGCTGTCCCTGCTGCAGGGGCTTGAGTAGCGAGCAAACAGACAATAGCTCTCCTAGGCGGTAGTAGTCATGCACTGTTGTCGAGCCCGTCAACAGCTGAATCGACTTGCGAGGGGCACGGCTGCTGCCATGACAGCAGCATTGGAATCTACCGATTACCGAATCGAGCTGTCTGAAATCTGTGCTGTTGCGGCAATGTGTACATCCGGTTGAAGTCTCTTGCTCCACGGCAAGCCGTACAGGAGACACGGGGCTAGTACTCGGAAGTCCAGATGACACACACTTGAGCGCGTTGCTGCAGCTGCTACTGCTGCCATTGCCGCAGCAAACGTTGCAGCAGCTGTCCGCTCTACGCCCTGCGGGGACTGATACAGGTAGGTTACAAGTAGCACTCGCGCAGTGCCTTTGCTGCCTCTGCACTTGCTGTTCTTGCTGCTGCTGTCGCTCTTGGACAGGGTGCGGTTGTGGCTTGTGCTGCTGCAGCTTGTACTGCTGCTGTAGGGCTTGAAGCGGATCCTGGAAGGCTCTGCAGGGATTCAAGTGATGCTGCTGCTCTCTAAAGTCAACGCGGGTTTGTCCCATACCGTCCTGCAAATACGACCACACTGCAGCTGTTGCAACAGATGAACTTCCTTCCGCACTGGCTGCAGCCGCGATAGTTGCTGCTTCTGGAGGTGAGCGGTGGGTCGGGAAGCCTTCCTCTCGATGCGACAAAAGGTCAGGTGACTGCGTGTGCAGCTTTTGTTGTTTCAATCCGTGCAATGATTGCCCCTGCTGCACTTCATGCTCATGCAGCTGCTGCTCGTGCAGTTGTTGTCCTCCTTGCACTTGCCGCTGCTGCTGCAGTTGCACCTGCTGCAGTTGTCGCTGCTTCCGTTGCTGCTGCAGTTGCTGCTGCTGCGAATGCTGCCGCTGCACTTCCTGCTCCTGCACTTGCTGCTCCTGCACTTGCTGCTTCTGTTGCTGTAAATGCTGCTCCTGCGGTCGCTGCTGCTGCAGTTGCTGCAGGTAAATTCCGCCGTGTGTGCTTCTGTGTTGATGAGGCGACACGCAAAACCCCTGGCGCTGCAGCACAGAGCCATCGAAGGAGCCCGATGTACCATCTGGCGCTCCTGTCACTGCTGCTACTGGTGCAGAACGCTGGATTGAGAGGTCCTTCGGCGGTGCGGGCTCTCCACTAAAAAAATGAGTGGAAACACTACAGAGGGCTTCCAACCCTGAGCAATGCAAGAAGTCCCTCGAGCACCGCCGGAAAGCATATTCATGGTAGGACGGAGGCTCTGGGGCGAATGAATTTTTCGCCGTCGTAGCTGCTGTGCGTGCAGCTGCTGCTCGTGTGGCACCTGCTGCTGAATGTGCAGACTCAGCATTGTAAAAAATGCATGCATCGTTGCTTGGTAGGTCTGGTAGACGCACAAGCAATTGCTCCGGTGTCCTTTGCTGCCGCTGCTGTCGTTCTGTTCGCTGTTGCTGCTGGTGGCCTACCTGTTGTTGCTGCCTTCTCAGTTGTTGATGGTGCTGCTGGCTGGGTTGTTCATCATGTCGCTCCGGGATTTTCGATATAAAGGACATCTTGGTGTCCTCGAATTCCGCAAGTCCTTCTGAAGCTCCGTGGACCACAGCAAAAACTAATACGAGAAGGGCACTCCTGTGACTCAAGACCTGCCAGCTCAACACCACGCTCCTCCCCCTCAAGACTGGGTAGCCGTTGATAGGCTGCAGGATGAATGAAACAGTGCTACCTGAGTATGAAGCCTCAATTCAGCAGGATGACGCGCGTGACACCCGGGACCCTGGTAGTAAGTGGTGCCCGCTGGAAGCGACAGGAGCAGCTGTGAGCGGGATAAGTAGTAGCGATGAAGGATGCAGGAAAAAAGAGGGAGACATAGATAAGTCATGGAAACGAGAAAATGCCAAGATACCGGCACAGCCACTCAGGGTTGTGCGGTGATGGGGACGAGGGACAGCTCGGTCTTTGCGCTGAACGTCTTGTTCCCACTCCTAAGAAGCCAATGAGCCATTATGCTGAGCGTAACGCAAAGTTGTGAAAAGTGTGCCTGGCAGTGCCGATAAGCCCCAGTGTTTCTTGACACCTCGGGTGTTTCAATGTGCTGCTCGCGATGCTGACTGTGTAGCACAGAAATTTAAAAAGAAAAGACCAGAAATTCACAATAAAAAGCGTTTCAAATGAATAACGAACACCATTCTCCTTCCATCTACATGGAGATTCAAGTTCTATAATTCGCGAGCACGCGCCCGGTCGCAGGCACGCCTTGCACGCCTCGCTCACTCTGCAACTCCAGCACCTGAACTTAGCAACTCCATAAGTGTTCTTCCCGATTTGCAGATTTAAGAAAAAAGAATATCAGATTTCACATGTTGGGATTAAATATCAAGAATGTGTGACTCGGTTTCACAACCCATTTGCTTCAACCCACTGGAGATCGAGGCAATCGATACGCCACCAACCGATCAGTCCACCAGCAAACGCAGGAACTAAAGGCCTGGAGCTTAGCTCTAGATGAAAGAAGATCATAACCACGTTAATGTTCTCGAAATGTAGAGCTAGCAACTGACATACACAAAGTGCTTCAGTCAAGGTGAAGGTGTGCGGCACCTCCCGCCTCATCCCTACCAACCCCGCCCACCCTCATAACGACAGCACGCACGGGAGCATGGCACAAGATAGACAAAATACAAGGCACTGCTAATACGCCATCTCTCCCTGTCCTGTTCATTACCTCTGCCCCTGGCAATCGCAAACACTCCCGTAACACGACGTAACACACCGCGTAAACTCCGATCCCCCCTTATGAAAACACCCGTGAGTATCTTTTCACTATTTACAAACGGGAAACAAAGTTAGAAGTGAATCCTACCCACCTGGGTGGCGTGAAGTGCTTCCTCCCTGTTACGCGCTGCCCGCGAAAATTCACCCCGCAACACCTTTACTTTGAAAAAGCACTATGGGTGGCGAAATTTTCCTCATGGAATCAAGTGGGTTAATTCACTTCTAATCACACAGGAAAACATGGCCTATGGAAGCAGCAGCACGCACGCCCCCATTAGCCGCGAAATGACTTTTATGTGCGGAACGCTACGAACCCCGCATACTTAGCAAACGCACCCAAAAGTCCGGCAGGCACAAAGACCATCACAACAGCAAAAGCACGTAGACAGGGCTCCATGGGACACACTCGAGGAGATGTATGAAGATTTAGAAAGCATTCACCCGAAAAATCGAACAGGTGCGGGTGCGGCTGAGAGGCGCTCGGGTTGGTTGGCTGTGTGCTAAGCGCGAATTTCCTTGTCCATACCTCCATTTGCACCGTCATAAACCTGTTCGGCAAGCTTGGAGTCGTCTTAAGCACAGTGTGATCAGTCGCCTGCTATCTTTTCAGAGGAGGGCCTCGGCTGAGTCCACTTTAACGGGAAGCTTAGTTGATGGAGCTGCGTTAACCCAGGAAGACAAAGATACTGGAAGCATGCGCCTATACGCCTACGTGTGGCTTCGTGCTCTGCAAAGCTTGGGACATCCTTCCCCTTGCTACTCATTGCGCCGATTCCCGAGCGCCACAGCGCATCAGTGTACCCATCGTACAGTCCCCAGGCCCTTTGAGCCGCGCAGCAGCCAAGTGTGTGGATTACTCTGAGACGCGGAGAGTTCGTGATAACTACGGTAGTGTGTCACTCGAGCCAAGAGGAGAGCAAGTAGCGCCGGCGGATCAACAGTGGGGCCTTCTGGATGGGAAGGAGGTCGGGATGAAGAGACACACTGTATAAGTGGTCAGTCTTGGAAAACACGCAGTGTGAAAAAATCTTGGAAAAGGTTCTAATCCACACAACACCACCCGGCACGGCTGGTTGACTCGGTGCGTCTCGAAGGAAGCGGATGCAAGCACTGCAGAGCGTCTGCAACACAAAAGGGCGCTTTAATGTGATGGTGGAAGGAAAAAGGAGAAAAGCTTCTCCACGCATGTATGCATCACCCCCAACCCTTCTCTAATCGATGAGTTGACTGCTCAGGATGGTCTCATCCAGTCACCCTGCTGTGCACTGACGGAGTAACTGGGGCTGCTGAGGATGCCATTTGTGCGCGTAGAAGGAACCATTTGATTCAGAAATTTATAATTAAGAAGCAGTTTATACATTATACGTGTAGCGGGACGTTTACTACTATTTTAGTCATTCAACAGCGCACGGCCAAACCCACATGGGGACCACTGGCCTCAACTAGATGGTGAGCCGAGGCCAATAAAAAGCGACAGTTGATGGCGCGCCATCTATTTTTAATTTAGAGTGTGCATTGTATTACAATTCATAGAGGTGCAGTAAAAGTGCAGGTCCAATATAGGAATTCAGCAACAACATGCCGTAGCCATCTGCCATGCCGATTACACTGGTCAGCTCGCATTATGGGCAATGCAGCACTTGCTTTAAGTGCTGTTATTGTTGTGGCTCATGTACTAATTCACAAAGAAACGAGCAAAACGGTGTGATATTTCGGTTAAAATGTTCCGAAAAAGAACAGTAACACTGTCGTACAGCCACCACCGCTCAAGGCATGAGTGAGGTTGTATACTTGCGTAGTCCGAATATACATATTGGATGGAAATAGAAGTGAGCTCCTCTCGAAGTGCCTGCCACGTATGTATTTGGTTTTACCTTATTAGTAAGAGTACTGCCAAAGCCAACTGCTTGTGCCCTGCATTGTCCGTAAAGCCTACATGGGACGCCACGCAACACTTTAGGGCAAGTGTCGCTACACCACAGCACCTGGCTGTGCCTGGATTTTTCTTGACGCACAACTTTGGAGAAACATATGGAGAAGCTTTGAAGGCACAGTACCACGTGCAGCTATTCAAGATGGGGGACACCACCAAGGCAATTGGGAATGAAGGACACAGGGAGCTCAGTTTAACAGCACAGACGGCACTTCCGCCGCCACAAGGAAAAGATAATAACGACATTCACTACAGAGGCCATGCCATTCAAGATACGTGAGTCCTCTGCAGCTGCCTACCTCAACTGTCCACATAGATCACCCTGGTAAACAACGACTACGTGTGCTTCAATCTGTAGGATCTCCCACGACTCTGAGACGCCGGAAAAATCGAGAAGATCCGTTGAGACATTGGAGTCCGTTGAGGAGCATTTGAAGTGGACAACTGAGGTACACTGACAGCGCAAAAAGTTGGCAGTGACTGGTTGCCTCTTGCTAGACTACACTGACGCCCTAAAGGTGCCTTATTCTTAGTGCAATCAAGTTCAAATAAGCAAGCCTTTGGTGTGACTGTACAGGCAAGGGCAAATGTAGATGAACTTGCAGCTGAGGTCTTCCTTGAAAAATGTGCTTGCTGCTTAGTGGAAAGTGACCTTCTGCAGCAAAAACTAGCCAAGCTCATGCAATCTGTCGGAGCTCTAGCTAGCGAATTGAATGGCTAGTATATTTTTTCAGAAGTTTTACTTGGCGTGAGATAGTTCTTGGCAACTAAAGCATCGCACGAAGATATCGGCGCACTCAAAGCACCGGTTAGAATGTGTTGAAACCAACGTGGCCTGTTACCGCTTGACCGCGCGGCTCAGCGAATTCTGCGTCACCTCTGCAATGATTCGCTTTATTTCGTCTTTTGGCACCATGTGCAGACGTCTAACAGTAGGAAGAGACACTAAAGTTTACTTAGTCATTGTGTATCTAAACGTAAGCAAAGCATGTATGGCGCTGGCCACAATGGTTTGCAAACAATGGGGGCCGAACAGTAGTTCCGAGAAATGGTAAGATCAAAGGACGCCTGGCGTGTAAAGGTGTACTCTTAATAAGTAAGCACATCCAACTGAGTTGGTTGATTGCAGCCAGCAGTTGCTCTCTCATGAGTTTAGTTTTTCCTCGGTAGGTCTGATCTAAGTGTAGCACAGCCATTGATACTCAGGGACCGAAGAAAAAATGGACACAACGCAAAATGTACTCATGTGGGGATTTAGCAGACCCGACGGAAGTGCAGCAATGCCAGTGGGACAGCTTAGCGCCTGTCCTTCTTCATCCCGCAGCTAGAGCGATTCCAACGTCACTGCAGCTTTTTCCACGATTAACGCGTCTGGGGCCTAGGAGCATTTTACCTCCTGGAAAAACCGCTAGAAGGCAAATGGTCCTCGGCAGCTACGATTTCCTTGTGCTTACTAGGCCCCCACTTATGACAGCTGCGATGCTGTTGGCGCTCTACAGCTCTACAGGTTGTGCAAAATGTGTATTAACTAAAAAGAACGAAAGCCTTTTAATTGTATCTCTCCTGTTGCACCTTTCTAGTTCAGAATACAGTATCTCCTTCACCTACATAGAATTAGTTATGCTTTTTTGACACGTAATAGCGCCCTTACTTTACTTTAAGCAATTTCCGTTCCCAGAAGTGTGAAGGCTGAGCCCAAGTCGTTAGTCTCTAGGACCTACTTGACTAATTAGAAGTCCATGGCCGGAATCGTAAGGGTTGCAATGTCAAGTAAGTGTTCCTGCTGTGGGGTCACGTCTGGCCACTAACAGCTACTGGTGACGAAAATGTTGCAAACTTTGGTGAAATTATCTCACACTGTTAGGTACAGGAAAGCTTTCTGACATTCGATCAGTGCCTCTCTAAGATATCTGCTGAAAGGGAGGTCTCACGCCACTGCTACCTTTTTCCGGTGTATGAACAAGTATTTCACTTTTTTCAGACAGTTGACGGGGTCAAAGGGCTGTATTTTGGGCATGTTTTGTTCACCAGAGATTCAGGTTTAGAGCTCTGAGCGTTTTGTAGCTTGTCGCCCTCCCCTGCGAGGCCTGCACCATTTCAACCCTATCAGCAATTCATCACACTTTCAGCACTGCATCAAGTTCGCAACTATGCTGAAGTCTAAGCTACATGAAAATATCCTGGCAAAAGTTGGGGATGAGTAGAGGTCCAAGAGCTCGGCTGCGGGAGAAGTATATCCGCCTTGCGAAGCCAGCGGTTGGTTTGTGCGCCAAGCTTCGTCGCACAGTCGATTTTGCGTCTGCTGATGCTTAAACCAAGAGAAGACACTAAAATACGTCCTGAAATGCAGGCCAGAAATACGAAAATTTGTGCAAAAGGGATGCACGCATTCGTCCAAGATGACCCACTGCAGGCTTCATGTGGGCGCTCCATTGCCTGAAGATGCCTTGCTCCCATGGAAGTTGAAAATAAGGCTCTTCCTAGTTTTTTACTGATTTAATGTGGGAGCAGTAGTCGGACACGTCTTTCATTCGAACAAGGGGCAAAGTTGAAATGTAGCGAAGCCTCAGATGCTAGTGAGTGAACCCTAAGGCATGTATTATTTCTATGCTACATAATCCATCCTTCTTCAAACGCATTATAAAATGACGTCTCTTTTTGGTGCTTCGCCTGTGTAGTAGAACTCTAGCGGAACAAAACTGAATACGCAGCGGACCAAAGGTCCCCTTGGTCCCTTGTGTGTGGGCGCTTTCTCAAACCGGCTGTGCTTGGGGACCCCCTATAGCAACCTCCGGTAGTTCGAGTACACTGCTTGTACTGAGGTGCATAATTTATAATTTCCAAATATTGAATTCCACAGGGTGAGGAATGCTGTGCACGGCATGCCGAGAGCTGCCTGCACGTGCCGGATCGGACTGGCTCAGTTCCTCAGGTCAAACAACATATCAAAATTGGGCCACAATACGCCTTCAAACGTTTCCATTAACTCAAATATAAAACTAAATTATTTTTTCAATGATGAAAACGTGTATAAAATACCTAAATATGGCGGAGACAAGACAGAGGATCTGGTAACGACCTCGTCTGTTGGGCAGGCCAAGGCGCGTCATGGTCCAAGGCCAACAGAGGGAGAGGCCACCTCATGATACTCTGACAGTTTTGCCCACACACAATTACGTAGATTACTCGTCTCCGAATTGTTGTGGCTCTAATTCATCGGCTCAGGAGCCCTGGCTCCTGTAACGGTGCTGCCGACCTCGTCCTGCTGGGCAGCAGTAGAACAGACCACCAAGACGCCGCCTCAACCTCAGCAGGTGTGATGCAAAGACAGGGACATTTTCATTGTCCGTCATTTGACTGTAATTTCTTTCTATGCTACTCAGTCGCTCAAGAAGAGCCTGTGTCTTGTGTGTACTTTGCAGTGGAACAGGGCCTCCTGTGCCTCAGTTACACTGCCTGTCTCCGCTTCGGGTCTCCGCAAACCTCGCACCAAGACGGAATAGATTTTGGGGAAAAACATGCTCTCATAGTTTTTCAAGGGGCTTTCGAGCTTTCTAATGGGCGAAAAGACGTCGCCTGTTTAGGAATCCTCCTATGAAGCTCGTGCAACCTAAGGTGTCACTGGAGGTGTTCCAACACGACTGTCTCCGTGACCACTGGACCGTCTCCAGCTGCACCTGGAGGCTGTCGTCATTAGGCCTCTGATACAGGTGAGCGCGACGAGCTGACGCAGTGAAAGGCGCTTCTTCGCCGTTAGCCCTCTCATGAAGGCTTTGCTCTCGAGTGATGGGGAATAGTGACCGCATAACCTCATAGGGGTGTCAAGTACATTGTACAGACTGCGTGGAAATATGTTTCTGCACTTTGCTCTCGACTCAGTCTCTCAACTCAGTCTTGGGAACACATTACGCCAATGGCTTCAAGCAGCGGGGTATCACCTGCGCTCTGGCGGGTGCGGCTTCCAGCACACCTGTGCGCCTTTATGTTGTTTTACGCACTCTTAATGAATGTTATGGCGACCCCTGTCGAGAAAAGCATCGCATCACACAACTTCTCCCAGGACTATTTGCCACCGCTCAACAGCTCTTCTTTGAACGGTGAGGCGGGGTGATGCTGCAGATGTACTGAATATTTAAGTATGCCTGTTTGCATAGATGTGCCTGTGGAGCAATATGTACACACGCATGTGTGTACATGTATATTTACTTGTCTGAGAGGCCTACAATTTGTGCTCCAGGACACAGAATACCTGGCATTGAAGCAAATGAGACTAGCTTTGTGCAAGGGGGAGAAAAGACCATGTGGGTTGGCCTATTAGACCAAGAATTCATAATGCAGTCCTCACATGCGCTGGTTCACGCATTCAAAAGAGGTACGTCTAGACTTCCGTAGTCTCCAAGGACTACATGTAGGCATGCGGGTTCACCTACATATTTTTGTGGCGTTTGTGTCTCTGTAATGATAGCATCAAAGTACATATATTCTCGAGGCTTCGTCAGGACTCTGCACTTGACTAATCCGTGGTTGCGATACTCAATTACAAGCTTGGAACAGAAGCTGCAGACGGTGAAGCAGCTGGAAAAGATTGCGAATGGCTCCAGGCTACGCTACCGCAGTACGCGCTCATTACTCAAATAGAGTCATTTGTGGCATGCTCGCAAGATGGAAAGAAAAGATAGAAACACGAACAGACAAAATGTGACGGCAAGGGGAGACAGAAATGAAAAGCATGGCACAGAAAGAAACGAAAATCCCCTTATCTGTTTTCTAAAGGGTGCAATGCTTCGCCGGAAGTGTGTGTATATTCAGAAAAGCCAGAGAGCGCTGCAAAGCTTCTTGCGCATCTGTCACTGGACCGCGCATTCCCGCTGCGATCAAAACTGTTAGGGTCTGAGAGGCGCCAGTACGCGAAGCACATGAAGGAACTGACGCAGGCTTTGCTGCAAGCAAAGGCAGGGACATCTGCTCTAGAGTTAATTATGGCATCCAAAAGTGAGTGCTACACTATAGCCAGCGACCACAAAAAGCTGGAATTCTAGGGGAAAAAAAGGCCTCACCAGCAGCGTAGCGAGAAGAATCCTAGTGCAGAACTCGGCATTAGTTATTCACAGGTAAAAAATCGTCTAATTGCGTCTTGTTTTGCAGCTCTCCCGCTGTACTCTTGGACCGAAAGTTTACTGAACCATCCAATTGTCACGTTAAAGAATACTGTTGTTCAGGCATTTGAGGACACGATTGGTGGAGTGACCGGTTTGTTTTCCAGTGAGGTTAAGAGTAGCTGTTTTTCATTTGCTCATAGAGTCAACACCATTGCGCCTTATACCGTAGTCTATCCCGGCGGCATTCTTGGGAGCATTATGAAGGGGCTTGTGCGGTCATACTTTCTGGTCTTCCAACAATCTTTGGTCAACTTTAAGGGCATTTTTGCCTTGCTTATTGGAGTAATTTGTAAAACGCGAATCATTCAGTCTGCTGCCAACGCACTCAAGCCTATTTTTCGAATGGCAAGAAGAGGAGCAAGAGCATATCAAGCATTCAAATCCAAGACAATAGGTATGTAAACCGCTAAAGGCCTTCATGAAATGCACAAAAGATGTGTCTGCCTTCTTACGGGGCGCATTGTGTTCCCATTCGTATTTTTCAGCGATGAGGGGGGACCCAATCGGCAGCGGACTAATGGATCGTCTTCTGAAACGAGATGCAGTCGTCCTTACGACTATTTTATTCCAAATGCATGCTGTCAACGTTGAAAAGCAGTGGGAGGAGGCCGATGAGTTCAAGAGTGCCCTATCCGGTGGAGGTGGAGGTGGTTCGTGGGCTCTTGCCGAGGGACTGTTCATTGGCGCTGCAGAATTCAGCCGTTCGTTTCACCGCTTAGTTCGCAAATACATAAGCAGTGCGGATGCATATGTGAAGGCTTGTCAAGCCCTAAGATTCGGCGCATTTGGCCAATCAAGTCAGTCCCAAGAATCCCCACCAGCTCAGCTCTCTGCTGAGGACATAGATCTGGAGAGTATTGTAGATGAGGCACTCGAATTTTTCTCTGAGGCACATCCTGAAGCCTCAGGAGGTGATGAACCGCTCACCACTGCGCAAAAGGTGGAATTACTGCGGCTAAGTTGCAGGAATAACCGGCGGTTCGTGCAGAATTTCAAAGAAAAGCAAGCCGAGTATACTCAACGCGTAGTTCTTCAGATGGTCCGCCTCCTCCAGTACCACTTCAAATACTTCAAGACTTACATTTCAGACATTCTCTCGATATTCTACGAGTCCTCAGTAGCGATGTTGGAAACAAAAATAAATGACTCATTGGGCGGTGTGGAAGGAGCTAACAGCCCGGCCGATGAAGTGGTGGCAGCTGAGGCGCGCCATGCTGCCCGAAGAAGTGCTGCTCAAGCAGCGACGGAAGACTCTCATCTCCCGAGAAAGCTATTTCGGGCGACAAAGTTTGCGTCAGAGGCTGAAAAACTAGCATATGGCCTATTTCATGCAAGTAAGCTACAATTGTAATTACTTGGTCCGGAATACGGGGTGAGTGGGTTGGTCCCGAAAGCTGACAGCAACCTACCACATGATGCTTAATCCTTATGTAAATGTCTTCTTGTTGCAGCCGGAGCACTGTCGCTCTTCCAGGTCACAAACGGAGAAACAAGGGAGGGCGCAGCTGCTCAGGCCACAGCACTTCATTCTCTAACCAAGGCGACGGACAGCATGCGAAAAGGCCTGGGTGATATATACAAGCGCTTTCTGAATAGCCAGCTTCTGTTATCCAGGGTTGAGAAGCATGCAGAACGTATAAAAATACTTGAGCTCATCGCCAAGTGCCAGACGCCTCTAGAAGAGAAAACGGAGGAGGAGAAGCGCTTATGCGGGACAACGGTTACCAGCGAAATCGACGAAGACGAGTTTATTGTCAAGTCGCTGGTTTCTTTGAACCTTCCGATATCCTCTCCAGAAAACGACATTGCATTTCATTCTCATGGTGGCGTCACGCGCGTATTCGAGCATTGGGCTCAGTTCACCAGTGAAAAACGGCTAAAACATCATGCGAGACTCGCTCAACTTGCTTTAAACGCAGGTGGGAACTGTATCCAATGGCGCGTTGGTGCTCCCGCAGAGGCTGTGGCGACGAGACTAGAATGCAAGCTGCGTGTCGTATTATTTTTCAGGTTCCAGTACTGTATTCATAACGCACCTGCGCAGAGCTGCTCTTGACAAGGTACTTCACCGAACGATAGAAATGTAGATTCACATGCTCACCTGGTGAACTGTCCTTGACGAGGTTATACACGTAACGTTTGTGGTATCGCATTTGATTTGTGACAGTTAACATTTAGGCGTTTTGAATACGTAGAAGGAACCGCAAAAGTCATCCTCTATGACGAAAATGGCAGAACGCTGACGTTCACTGGTGAGCCCACAGCTATAAGGTATTCAGTTTAGCTCTTTCGCTTTCCAGTCATGGTGACTAGTTTTTGGTTTAGTACGATGAATCTTTGTGATATGTTTCGATTTTTGTGGCCCTTCTGCCTTGCCTGCAGGTGACGATGAATCAAGCGTGAGAAGTAAGTTAACTTCACTACTGGTTGCTATAAGTAAGCGTAGGTCGAATTGGCACATGTATACTGTACACTTCACTGTCAGATGCATTGACTGTCTGTGCCACTGAGCAGATCTTGTTACTGCGGCACACGATAAGAGTGGCAGAAGTAAGTTAACAGAACCCTAATGACTCACAAAGTTTGCAAGAGGCAAAGACGGCTGCAGTGTATTCCTTCAGTCAAACTGTATGCACCCTACCTCCGTTTACCAGATGCGTGCAAACACTGCCTCTCAGGCATCACCAAACCGGATCCTCTAGATTGCAATAGTTCCTTTACTGTAAAGGAAAGCAACAAGGGGACGCTGTCATTCTTCGTGGCTGCTGGCCAGCGACGTGGAGAGGCCTCAGGACATCGTCACCAAAATTTTGCAGAAGCCCAAATCACGCCTGCAATACAGCTGGAGGGTTCCATTGAATACAACGACGAACGAAGGGAGCTTTTAGACATTCAAAATGACCCATCAGCCATCAGGGACACGATCGTAGCCCACTTCCTAGACAAACGGGGCCGTATCGCTGCGGAAACAGTGAGAATCATTAGCCTACATACGCAGAGAAGGAACACGCTGCAGGAGCAGTGCACAGTCAAATACTGTTTTTACGCCACATTCAGCACTGTTTTCGTTCGGTTTGCTTACAGCTCGCTGGCGTATTGATGCTGCTTCACCGACGGGCCCCAATATTTTGGAAAAGCAGCCCAGTTGAGTTCTTGCAAAACGTGACCCCAAAAATGTTCTTTGACATTCTTTATGTCCTCTCAACTCAAGCCTACGACCAGTCCGAAGCAACTGTGATGCTTGATGGAAAGTTGTACACGTTCCCCAAGTCGTTCGGAGCGATGAAAGATATTGTGCTGAGCGCTTTGAATAGGGCAATCGTTCGAATGCACAGCTTGAACGCTTCAGATGCTGCCCTTCTTATTACGATGGGGAGTGTTCATTTTGCCTACAAAAAGATTCAGAAACATCGCACTGGGAGGACAGCAACCATGCACCTTTTCCTTAAAGAAGTGAACCACATCATGAACATACTAAGAACTAGCCCTGATCAGCTCAAGGTCCTCTACCCAGAATGCAGCTTCATTTCAAAGTGGGGAGAACCTACTGAGGAAGGAGTCCTCAAGTGTGCGGTTTTCCGTTTCATGAAAATTGGCTCCCTCGCGAACCTTGGGGATTCGGAGGTCAGCTTAACCGCCGACGCCTGTGCTTTACACGATTCACCTCAACTTCCGTGAACGCTTCCCTATTAATCATGGCAAGCCTTAGTTTCTGCGTGTTCTTCAGGAAGAAATAATCACGTACGTCACTGCTTTTGTGACCAAGCTCGCCGAGCTTAAGGGTGAGGTGACGTGGAGATCCTATTTGAATCTCGATTACTTCCTCAAGTCCGCCAAAAAGTATGGGAAAACTGCGGCAAAGTATAAATACGAGGTTCTTTACAACCAAATAAACGACCTTCCGGGGACAGATGAAGAGGAAACTGAATTAGCCAGATTAATGAAGAAGCTGCACCCGTCTGTGTCAGGGCACAGACCTCCAAGGCCCAAAAAAAAGCAGGGTTTGTTGAACATGCTAACGAGGTTCAAAGACAACTTTAATATCCTGCCAACAATAGTAAGGGAAAGAGTCGCTCTTGAGTGGAGAAGCTGCTTGGCACGCATGAGGCGCTTCTTCGGCAACAGAAGGTCAATGCTGCGAAGCTGGAGGTACATTTCCGTTCCTCTTTATGCCTAATCCAGGTCGCACTTTGCCTGCTGCCATACTACACAGCTGTGGGCTTCGCACAGGAACCTTTGGATGTTTGCTTGTTCACGCATTTTTGGATCACAGGATTTCTCCTAAGGTCATTCAAGGTCCTCATTTCATGGGAGCACTAAAATTTGCAGAAGTGACCACGTATCCAGACCTTGACAGCCCTCGAAACACATTCATCGAAGTAGGAGACCTGGAGGAATTTAGCAAGGTGCTTCTGACACTGGAAACTGTCACAGGCATATTGGATAGTCCTCCGAGCATGTACAACACTGTCACACAAGTGCGAGCAACACCTTCTTTTACCCCGTCTGCACGAGGTGAGCACCTGAGTTGTGAGACATCTTCATTCAAAAGCATCACTTTAGTAGACATGTGCTGAGCAATGCTTCTTCAATTTGCTGTAAAACCAACTGGCTAGCTCTGTGCCTGGTGAGCTGCAGAGGAGCACGAAAAACTTATGAAGCGTGCGAAGGCGTTAGGACAAGCTACAGTAAAAATCGCTGCAGGATGGGTCCTCAAAGCAGCTGGCGGATCTGGAATTGGCATGGCTTTGGGTCTTCTGGCTCTGCAAGATGTTTCGGGTAGATTTGTGGACAAAGCTCTCCAACTACGCTACTTGACTTCCGAGGCCCTCACATTCCTCAACTCGAGTCTTGATTTGGCATACATTATTAAACACCTTCCACCACAGACTCCCAGGGATGCCGAAATGCTGCGTTTCAGTAAGTGTTTAAGGCACCCGTCCTGACTGATAGTCGCCAATCCACGGTAGCATTGATTCGAGCTCTTGCTGTTGGCGCGTCGATGTGCTGCGTACCAATACCATTCCTATCACCCATAGCAAAGAAGCGAGCTCTTGCTTTTGCAGTGTCGATTTGCTGTGTACAAGTGCCATCCCTAACACTTGTGTCCACGAAAGCTGCTCGAGTTTTTTCCGTTGTGCATTCTTCAGACCTGAACTCTGGGAGTCGCAATACTTTTGTCGTTAAAGCACAGTGTGAGCCAAAAGGCCTGGGGGTGAACACTGCTGAGTCCGTCAAGGTTGCGGATGCAATTAGGCGTATCGAGGACGTGCTCGCAAAGCAGGATGGACTCCCAGTGAGTTTGCTGCTGGTGCTTGCCGCAGGCGCACTTTCAGAGAGCAACAGCACACCGAAACACGTCCTTCGAGGGTGTCAGCATCCCGTCAACCCTTTCTCTTATTGCGCTGCAGGACGGACCTTCTGACTTCGAAAGATGCTCAGCCTTAGTTGGCTCCATTCTGAGACGTCCATTCACATCGACAACATCCCTTCCTCACGATGCACTCCTTGCTTCTGATGCTTTTGGGCTATGTTTCCTCCTGTTGAGACTTCGAGCTTATATCGCTTCAGATGCGGAGACAGTCACTATTGACGAATTACTGCAAACAATCTACATTGACAGGCTGCCACTTGCAGAGCACCTGAGCTTCCTGCAACAAAGACGAGCTGACATGGACGAACGGAAGTCAAGGGCGAAATACATTAGCCCCCTGTTGCGCTTCCTCCTTATTGCTACTGTAGACAAACTAGGAGAGAGCCTCGGGGGACTCAGCTTCAGGTCTTACGATTCTGAGTCAAAAATGATCTCCTTTCAGTACACATTAGAGGAGGTCTCTCCTCCAGGAAGTCCTGCAGACACTCTGGCATTTGCAGCCGATTTACTCTTAGGGACAAACAACGAGAAAAAACACAGATTCGTTGCCTTCGCTTTCGATGGTGAGATGCCAATGCAGAGAATGCAATGCATGCCTTTTACCGTTGCTCTGTTGCACAGTCTCATTTACGGGGTTTTTGTTTTTGCGTTTACAGGCCCGCAGTTTTTGATGGATTGGTACAGATATGTGCTGCCTGAAAAAATGCGCGGCGTTGTGGATGCTGCTAGAGAGCAGAATATTCCCATAACGTACCAGGATATGATGAAACTAAGCAACGTCTACACAGTCACCGACCTTGCGGACCTAGCATACAGCTTGCGTCAAAGCTCAAAGATAAACGTGAACAACATCGCAAGAAAGGCAGCTTTAAATTTAATGGGCGACGCAAACAGGCCACCACTAGAGCGCTACGGTCTTGCTTACATGCTTATGGAACTGGTCAACCAAGCAGCGCACTTGAAAAAAAAATGCATGGGAAAAGCACTGGAAGATTATGAGACATTTAGCAGCTTGACAGTGCTCGACAAAGAGCTCTTCAGGTATGATTGCTTCTACACCAAAATGAATGAGTCTCACTCGTTTGCTGACGTTGCTAGGAGTGTTTCCGAGAAAGACATTCGCGACGTAATGAGAGCAATTGACGCAGGTGCGTATCGCAAGGGCAGCAAACCGAATGAATCCGAATTTCATCACATGTGACTCAGCCATGTAGCAGTACTACGTGCTGGCTGTTGAATTTTTCGCGGCTCTCTGTCCTGTTGCTCTGGTGTTACTCAGCATACGAAGCTGAAACAAAGGCTCTGTACGATAAGCTACTCAGTAGCAACATTGATCATACAGTGGTGGCAAATGTGGCCTTTAAAATTGCCCAGCAATTCCCAATAATCGGCATGGTCGATACCCTTACCTCAGACTTTCTTAAATGGGTGCGGGAGAAACGAAGTTGGCAAGAAATCCTTCCTAATGTAAAAGCACAGAGAAGTGCCAAATGGGTCGCCAGTTACAGAACAACTACTCTAAATCGGCCCGTCACCAACAGAGAGCACCCACTACTCATGAATCCCTTCCAGATACTGATAGACATCATGCTCGCAAGCATTGCCGGTAAGCAAAACCTTTAGTAGTCAGCAGCCGCATGTAAGGTTGCCGGTGAAACGAAAAAATATGGTTGACTGCCGAAGTTGGCCAGTGCAGATCACTTTTCCTCCTGGCTAATATATATATATATATATATATATATATATATATATATATATATATATGCTATATTCTTGCTGTTGGCTTCCAGGTTCTGCCAAGCGGAGACAGCTACCAGTACTAGCTCCACTCCAGCGTCTGAAAGCAATATTCGCCAGCATAAAGCCCGGAAAGAAGAGCAGAGCAGAATATAAAGCAGACGTGAAAAGGCGCCAGCGTACTGCCGAAAATCAATTCGAGGAGTACACTAAGGACCTTAGCGAGGGGAATCAAGAACCTCAAGTGCTTGAAAACCCTGAAAGCACTCAAGGGACGGAGGACTTCCAGGAGTCTCTGGAGCCACTACAACCTCAAGGCACGAACCCACCCGCAGAGGCGCCGCAAGAACAACCGTCTCTAGAACCACCTCAGGCTACGTTGCCTGAAGATACACAAGTAACTCAATAGGTTGTCGAAAGCCGACGATGGCCAGATGAATTTTGTCCATGCTTGCCTCTGCATGATAAATCCACGGTTCCAACGGACTGTGGCATTTCAAGGCTGGGGGAGCTTGAGAATTGTTTATAGTACTAAGGGAGGCAAATGGCGAGAACAGCTCCATCGTTTGGAAAATCGCCAGGAAGAGAGGTCACCCGTATTTGTTCCTTTTCAAGCATTTCCACCCTCTCCGCAGTGCTGACACGAATAGAGCTGTGGGACTTTGTGGCAGCCCTCGTAAAGTCAGCACGTTCTGTGCTTTGGCTGAGGCTGTCTACGCCAAAGCTCGAACAAGGGATTAAAAGCTAAATAGGAGCTTTGTTAAGTGCAGATATTTGCTCTGCTCCCTAGGAAAAGCAGCCACGCTACTCGGAAACGAGAATGTGCACCAAGCGAGACTCGTGTAGTTCAGCGGCGCCCCTCCATGATTTTGATTGACAAACCACGGACACAAAGGTCTTCTACGTGCCCAGTGCTACTGTAACCGAGTACTGCAAAGATGTCGGTTGAGGAAAGCTGCTGCAACTGCACCCCCTCCACTTGCTGAGGGTCATGTCTACGTCTGACGAACTTTTGTTTTGCAAAGGTGCCTTCCCTTTCAAAACCGATAGTGTGCAAATTTGTATTCCAGTTTGATGTTTTTCAGTGTAGTCTGCCGGCAGATATATGTCACCGCCATAAAATAACACTACAAAGCCGCGACCCTTTAGTGCAAAATCATAGGACTTTCGAAACAGTGGAAAGAAGCATAGCAAGATCTATCAAGGAAAGCAATAATCTGAGTCATATACCCTACGCTAGATAGTGTGCGCTGACCACTTGCAGTACTTCATCTAAAGATGGCAATTCACTTGAATTCAATTGTCCATCCATATGGGCTGCGTCAGCGTGCTCTCCTAATCGTCTTCTACCCGTGGTGCGACAGCCGCACAAAGCAAACAAGAAGGCCCACTCGTGGTAGAACGTGGTGGGAACGCTGCCCTCGATGCCCTACTCCTAGAACGCGCTTCACCTTGTCACCATGGAGGGAACGAGTGTTCACAGAGACACCGAAGGACCATCATGCGGTGCGCGGAACGCATATATTCGTCCTAAGTAATACAACAACGTCGCAGAGTAAGCACCACCCTATTTCTTCAAGTGTAAGGCCTGAACCGCGAACTCATCGCTGATCCCCAATGCGCAATCCCCCGTTCTGCCGCAGGTTAGAGTTCAACGCCCACGCACAGTACCTGGAATGTCCGTGATTCTTCAGTGCTGCGAGGGCCAAATCCGAAATTGGTGTTGCAGGCTGTTTGCGTGTTACATATGCCCTCATCTTCGAAAGCACTGTTCTGTTTCCCAGCAGACTCTGGATGAGCGATGGAATTTTGTGGGTCCGCTTCAGCCTCCCGCAACTTCTTTGCTGGGCTGTGCAACGCTTCCGTGTCACCCGGTTTTAGCATTAAGCGGTTTACTGCACCAGTGCGAGAAAAGTAAAGGCCTTCGAAACAACAATCGTAGAGAACGAGATTGCTTGCTGGCGCCGGGTGAAGCGCCGTGCAGCAACTTTCCGTAGCTAGTCTCAATTCTTCCACTTCCGTGCTTCCTGCCCTAGTCATGGATGCAGATTCCTCGGCAGCATCCAGCTTTGCTGCTTCGACTGCTGCTTCGACCTCCAAGCCTTCCCTCAACAGAGTTGAGATACATGCTGCAGGCCACGCTCCACGCCCCACTTCCATCAAAGCTGCCATCATATACCGGACCTAAAGCGCAACAGGCCCAGGATCAGTGTGGCAATGTCTCATCTCGGGTAAGCAGCAGTGTGGGTATGGCTGAGAACTTTTATGCTGCCCTACGGATCTGCGACAGAACGGCAGCTATGCGCCAATTCTGTAAGCCCATAAATAGGAGAGTCATACTTGGTGCCACAGAAACGACACGCCTACAATGGTCGCTACACCGAACCCATCTTCCTGTAACTCCAAATCGAAGCGAATAATGCGACGCCTGATGAAGAATGTACAAAAAGCATCCTCAAGGACTGTTTCAAAGAGAATTGAACACGCGAGTCATAAGAACGTTGCCCGTTCATTTCACGAAGCACTTTTGTGGACAGGAGACTGATACATTCCGAGAGACCCATAAAATGCAGTGAGCTGACGCAAAAGTGACTGACCAGAGGCTCCGCTCCTGCTTCCTGTCAACTTTGCAAAAACGAAGAAAGTTGTGCATCCCTAGCTGTAGCAAAGTGTCAAACATACGCGCGTGCATCTCAATGCTGCCATGAACGCACTCAATTCTGGCTGCGCCACTTTTACCAGCTAGCTATAAAACTCATGACGGTGCTGTTAGGATACATGCGAAACCACAAAGACGCAACTTTCAGAAAAAATAAGTGTCCGCCACAGCTATTATGCAGTGTTGCAGTGGCACTACACTGCAGTCAAGACACAGCGACGGTGCAACGACGCTTGATCCTCGCTTACAAATTGTTTGGCAGCGGCTCGCATCCTAGAAATATCCAATCCAGCGGTGCCAAAGAAGTACTTATACACTCTAAATAAACAGTCAAACCTGCGAAATCAACAACAAAGGCCGCTATTTTTACCTTAGAGGAGCAGCTGACTTGTACGGTGAGAACAAGGTTTAACCAGCTTCAATTCAAAAGGTTGGCAAACAACAAATCCAGCAATTTCTGCTGCGAGGCCCTGACTCCGGGAAAGTAAGCAGAAGCCTACCTGGCATCGAACGTAGGAGGGACCTGGGTGGCAGCAAGGACACGGATATCTGGAGGTAGAAGTCGATTCAGTAAAGGCACATATACCGTACATCCACCTGCGGCTCGAACCAGCCAGAACCGTCACTGACGTTTTTCCACAGCTCCAGTCAACACAACTTGCTGTTTTGCTCACGTGCAAATCCACATAAAGCCACAGCCAAGCCTACGTGCCCTGCGTAGTTGCACACATTTGCTGTCTACGGCCCACCACTGTCTTGCTGAGCTGCCCCTTGTCTGCACCCGCAGCACACAAACACCCGGCAAGCATCCCTCGTATGTATGCTTCCCATCTAGAGTAATGATGTAAGCTTGAGATAGGGTCACTCACATAACGCGCATGTCAAGGGAAACGTAGTTGCCCGCTGCATGCACGCCCTTGTCTGTTCGTCCGCACCGCGAGAAGTTGCTGCAGCAAAGGTGACGATTCAAGATAGCTGCCTCTCAGTAACGGAAGTACATACACAGTTTTCCCGGCGTCCCTTTAGTGTACTGAGACTCAGGAAATGCTGAAATGATTTTTTAGCTCCTCCCGTTCAGGTGCTTCTGCTCATGCAGGCTTGAATGTCGACAGCAAACAGTGCACACGGCCAAAAATCATTCACCGGAAGAATAAGAGTCAGGACAGGGATGAATGCAGCGAAAAATGATTTCCTAAATAGCTTCGTGCGCATCTGTGGAAGCAAACACCGCCGTGCTTCACTCCTTAAGTAACAAGCGAACTGTGGTTTTGAGCTATCATTCTCGCAAAATTAACACCGTGGTTTTAACTGCCTCCGCCTAGTGAGGATTCTTAAATACAACCACATGCGAGTACTAGAAATGTAACCAGTAAAAAGGAACGCACAAGTGCGCACAGAGGCGGCAACACGCTGACCAGCGCCAAGACCGCCCGGTGTCACCACAGCACGAACCTCACCAAGCGTGTCTGTTGGGGATGAGACACGCCCTCTCCATACACCTAAACAGGGTGTCTTCGACTGTGGGAATGCCTGAATCCTCGGCCTGCGCTGCCAAGCCCTGCAGCAAAGGAAATGAACAGAGCAAAAGATCCGAAATGAACAGACAGAAAGAGTCAGTAACGCCAAAGTCGCGCATAGAAATCTGGAGTGAAATATGTGGTACCACTTCTGTCCCTTTCCAACCTGCTTATCTTTGAGTACCTCCAACAGCTGCTACTGGCGTCACGCCGGCACTCGCTACCGCCCGCTCACAGCATATGCTTCTCCATTGTACGCAATTTTAAGTAACACCCTCTGCAGCTGCACCTTGCTCCAGTCAAAGGCACGCTGCTTTTTCTTTGGCTTGTATTGACGTTCAAGTGGGGACCCGGCATGACGGTTGGCCTCACAAGCACAGCTGGCAGTGTTTTCTGTGAAACCTTGGTTACAGTTGTTGCTGTTAAGAAGGTTTCGCTTGCCGTTGCTGCTTCTGTCCCCACTGCTGTGCTTCCCATTGTCATTCTGTTGGACGCAGCATATCTTCCTCCCACGGATGCACGTGATGCTGCCTGCACACTTTTCAGTGTGTGTCATGATCCTTTCTCTCCACACAGGTGAATTTGCAAGGGATACCAAACAACGGGACGCGTGGGGAGCTTATGGATCTCTAGTGCTGAAGAGGAAGGTATACATATGGCGCACGTAATGCAGATGGAGAGACATCGCTGCGTTAAGGGGCTTCACGGACCACTCATACTGAGGCGCCGTTAGCACTACGGGGGGAAACATCATAGCCCTTCAGCTTGCTTGCATCCGAATGATTTCATGCATTGACAACAGTCTTTAGTCCCAACAAACCCGAGCAACAACGCTGGCACAGATATGCGAGAGGCGGAGTTTGGGGCTTCTCAGGGCCCCCCAACAGCCAAGGCCTCCCGTTAATGCAGGTTGTGCTTAAATGCACTCTGGTCTTGCTTTATGGGGAACTACATAAATTTAGTCTACATAAAGCATTACAGTGCATGATCTATTATATGGAGTCCAGGAAAACTCAGCACGTGGCGACGTAAGGTCCAGGGGTCTCTCCTGCGCGCCAACAAAATAGTAGTTGCGGAAAACCACTACTTTCCCCCGTATTTTTGAGTTTTGGCTTGTCCATATTTGGATCCATGAACTGTCATTTTTAAGCTCGACAGTTGCCACCTGCAGTGTTTCTTCGTGGATCTCCGTCCCCATGAACTTGCATACCATCTAAATACCCTATGAGATCTAATGTCGAATGTTACGGAGGTGTGGAACAGTGAAACAGTCAGGTTGCTGCCACACGAGTCTCACCTCTGCCCCAACGGCCTCCCGTCGGAGTGTACGTACACCCCATTTTGGGACCGTTCATTTCGTTCGGGTTCCTTGTTGGGTTGCGGCAGCACCAGCGGGTGCAGTATAGTGTATCGAGGCAGAAGCCCTGAGCCTAGTTCTCTGTTGACTTGTTACTTGGGGGGCTTCAAGCTGCACGATAGGTCTCTCCCACTTGGCCGCATTTCTAAGAAAACATTCAATCCCCTGCTCGAGGTGGAGGTGGTGAACGCGGTCGGAGTTTGCTATTTTGACCAGCTGCTGTCGGATCACCCTCTTTGTCTTTGCCTGCAGCCAAGTTGCTGCTGCTGCAGTGGAAAGCTTCCCACAGACCCCGACCCCTACAGCCTGCGCGGCGATGGCAAAAAAGCAGCAGCTGCAGCAGCAGCAGCAAGAAGCAGGCGTGTTACAGTGCTTGAAGAATATGTTCCGTACGGCGCATTACAAGAGGTAGCTAAGCATGGAAGGCGTACCCCGGTCCTTGTGCTGCCGTGTGGTGCAGCACACAGCGCCCTCGAGTTGGTAGCAATATCCCATAAAGTCGGCGACGTTGTTTATACGCGAGGGCTCCCCCGCAATATCAGGAGCCAACAGTACAGAGGGGAACGCGGATCGGACAATGAGAGCCGCGAAAGAAGGATAAGAAGAGTGAGGCACGGCATTAGCAGCAGTAGCAGCAACAGCCGAAGCAGCAGCACCGGCAGCGATCAGTCCTTGGAAGGGGAGTCTGGTAGTGACAGCTTTGGCCTTTCTGAATGGGAGACGTCTATGCAAGCAGCTGGATGCTCGCTGGGTCTTGAAGGGCGTCGGCTTGCGGAGTTGCATCCCAACGTATTTCAGTGGACTCGTGGGGAAGGCCAGCGTCTGCGTCGTGACGGCACTGCTAGCTGCGAGAAGCAAAACAGCAGCAGCAGCTGTTGCTGTTGCTTTTGTTGCTGGTGTCCCATGGGGGACGAAGCGGATAAAATAGGATCAGCAAGAAACATATACGCACGCGGAGATGCCCGTCACGCCCCCGACCTCGTCGACACCATCAAGCCCAAAGAATCCGTTGTATCTGAGAGGGTATTGGAGGTGCGCACAGACGACAAGCACCCTTTTATTAAGCTTGTCTATGCCAGGAATTCTAGGGGTTTGTACGTAGCGAGGCTAAGGTACGACGAGGACGACTTCGATCCTGCAGAAGCTACGGAAGCGCTCAAAGCAGCAACGCGCAGGCAGCAAGGGATACAGGGGTCCCAATCTGAGACGGATATACGTGGTTGGCTTCAGGATGGAGGCTTAAGGCGGCAGCTGAAAGTGGAAGTGTTGCATGACGCGCCTTATGGCTACCGGGTGCCACGCCAGGAGGGAGGTCGGGCTCGACACAAAGACAGGGAAGCTGGCGTCCTACGTTTTGGGGTCCCCAAGCAAATTCCAGCCCATCCAACAGTAATCAACATCGCCGTGAGCCCTGCCGATGTTGGTGAAGCTGCACTGCTCTACAGCTCGCAGTACGTGAGCCTCTGGAGAGCCGAGGAGGCGCGAGTACGTCAGCACTGACTATCCAAGTAGGCGAGTACCTTTATGTAACCAACTAAACCCGAGTTTCATCCTTGATTGCATGAAGGCGCTTAGCAACGTAGCGACATACGGATGCAACGGCAACCGTTGTGTTTTGAGAGTTTCCCCTGCTGTTTCAGCTCAAATATTTGTTTGATGTTGGTTGCTTTGGCGCCAATATATTTGCTGATTGAGCCTGTGCTATTTCGAATTCTGTAGATGGAAGTGCCCGCGCCCGTTTCTCTCTCTGTGGTCACTCGAAACATCAAGCGGGCGTCTCGGCCGTCTATGCGATACAGACACCGCGCTGTTCTTGCTGACCCAGCTGCGGAGGCCTTCCAAACCCTTTGCTATTTACCCCACCAACGCCAAACTCTTCTTTTGGGGAGCGAAAATCTCTGGGCTTTGGACCTCAGGGTTGGTTTTAAAAGCGTCGTTACACATTTCAAAAGCATCTCCCACTTTTAGAGTCATCAGATGCAGCTCCGTTGCAACTCTTTATACTGCTACGGAGCGCTTACCTCTAGTGTTGCAACGGATGCTAGCTGCGTGCTGTTGAGATAAGACAAGGATACTACTGCCGCTGCCATTTTTTTGAGATTTAAGATCTATATCTTCTGGCATACGGAAGTCGAGGCTTCACTGGAGCTGGACTTTGTGAAATGTTGGCTGGATTCAGGCAAAGGGGATGACACGGCTTTTCCCCGCGTTGCATGCACCGACGCACAGTAGCACTCTGCAGTGCATTGCGGAGACGCTGTACGCACCATGTACAGCCAATTCGACCTACCACACGACATTTACTGCTTTGGCTCCTCACCCAGTCCATCCCTTCCTCCTTGCCGCAGTCCACGATGCTACAGAGTCCATTTATCTCTTTGATGTGAGGGCGATGCATGAGCCCCTCACAGTTGTTGGCCTCCCCACAGTCCGCAAGGTGAGCTCCGCATTTCGCGGCATCTTGTGAAGACCCCTAAAGGTGGTATTAAGGTTTTTTCCGCAGGTGAAAGAGCATAAACAGCAGCTATCAGGCACTCCTCGAGTAGTAGTCTAGCTGATCACGGCAGGCTACTCTGAGCAGCCGCAAATTCGGCTTGCGTTATTTTCTTTGCAGATGGGTTCCAGATATCGCAGTTTATTGTGGCACAGCAGCACTGACAAGTGGGCTCAAGCAGAACACCTGGAGTCCATGAGGGCTACTCGTCTATCTAGTGATAATGCCCGCAAGGCTGCCTTCACTTTTGGAGCATGCGCTGCACATCATGACCCTTCCTACACTCACGACCTCCTTGCTGCGTTCTCTTGGAAAAGCGACGACGTGGTCTGCAGCGCGCTTCGAGTACACCCTGCTTTCTGCCCTCGCGACCCGATGCAGCCTTTCGGCACTTCAAGCCGCGAGGAACTTCCCCAAAGCATCCACTTCGGGGGGTCGGGGGTCTCAGCTACGAGGCAGGACCATCCGCGCCTGCACAACAAACGGCCTTATTTTGAAGCCTCGCCACTAGAGGCCGTAAAGCGGAGCTGTCTTCCAACAGTCATAAACAGAGAGGCAGTGGAGGTTTCGTGGCAAGTGAGTATCTCACTAATAGTGTGAATGCAGGTAATGAGTTCACTTGTCTTACATAATCCAAATGCAGGTGGGCAAACCCAGGCACAACTTGTGCATCTTTACCCAGCCCGTGGTGTGCAATGGGTCTGCATGCGACTGCAGGCAGAAGTTTCAATGTTTCCCCGTGTCAGCTGGGGCCTTGAAAACCGGGAGCGTTGCAGCTCCATCCCATCTAAGACTCCTATTGGTTCTCCTTGGACCCAACAGAGGCCGTTGCAGGTGACTGTAGATGAACATGCGGCCACCGCTACTTTCCATGGGTATGCAGGGGCGTGTCTTTTTGAGTTGCCAATAACGGGGGAGACACGACAAGCACTCGCTCATGAAGGCCATCAACAACCAACGCGAACTGTCCGCTGCAGCGTATGCGGGAGCCGCAACCCACTGGCGTTGGCAGCAGCCTGGAGCATTAGTAGCAGAACTACATTCTGCAGGAACTGCTTAGCCCCCATCAGCCACGCTGTAAGTGTGTCCAAAGAATCAACGGGCTCCCTCGTTGTCCTCTCTGCGCTAACCACCAGCGGCCGTCTCACGTGCAGGCCCTTAACACTAAATGACCCAGTGCTAAGGCTGAAATTGCAGAATCGCTGCCGCCTGTACTCAAAATTGGCAAGGCGGCAGCGGTTCAAGAGGAAGGAGGACCAGGAAGCGTTTAGTGCTTTCGGTGTTGAGCCAGGCAAGTCCCCGCAAGCTAGTGAGCCCTCAGAGGCTCTGGCTGCCCTCCTGTCCTTCCATACTCGTCGATTTTCCCGCGAATATCCCTGCAGTATAGCAAGTGGTAAAGGCAGCATAGCTACTTATAAGCCGTCCGGTCATCAGGCCGTACACGTTCTACTAAAACATCTGCACGCTAATTTGAACGAAAAGCGGGTCTTGCCCCAAAGGATTTCGGTATTGCTGCTACAAGCGCAGCTGCAGCAGACTTTGCAGCGGGAGCTACTATTCCGTGCTGCGGTAAAGCTGCAGCGCAGTCAGCAGCTGCATCTGCTGCGTCGAGTTTCTTTTGAGGACCACTTGGTGCCATGCGAAGAGGTAGCTGGCGCGCTCTTGGGCGCTTTGAGGCTAGGCTTGGTGGCAATGAAATTCAGCGGACTCTGGCCGCGAAGGCTTGCTTCGTTTGCTTTCTGTGATTCGGGAGCCTTCGGCATACACAGGCCTGCATTTATCACGGAGGCCTACGACCCTGAGCCTGTCGTTCAGGTGCTTCTAGCTAGCCGAAATCTTGATGCGTACCTAAACGGAACTGCAGAAGGTCACCCCACAGAGTCAGGGAAAGCAAAGGACCTCCAGGATGATGAGCAACGAGCAAGTACAGAGGGAGAAGCGGATCAAAACAGCTATATGTTGTCGTTAGCAGGCTCGGAGCATTCCCAGTCCCTCCTTTCTTCGGACTTTAACGGCAAGGTTCCTTCCAGTGGCGGCTACTTACCAGAGAACGAAGAGCCCCAAAGATTTGACATCGCATCAGCTGCCAGAGAGTTGCTGGAGACAGAGCCTGAGGAGCCGGGCTTTACAGCAGTAACGGAAATTTCCGCGCTACCCTTCTCTACATCCAGGAGCCGTGCGGTTTTCCGCTACGCTGTAGAGGCTGTGGAAGCCTTGAGCTATGTGACGCCTGGAAGAAGTCTCTTGCAGTTAAGAGACGAAGGCACTGTTCTTCTGCATGACGTACTGATGGCGGTTCAGATGTGGCGTGACGGAGTGCTGACAGATGCTCAGGTTCTGAGCTTATTGTGTCACTTCACAATTAGCAGGCCTTGTACAACCGGTATCTTAGACATGCAAAGAACCACTTTGCCATTGAGTGTCCCTGTGGCTCGCTCCCCTCAAGAAGCTCTAAAGACCGCTATGGAAGTGGCACAAGGGTCGCATCTACAAAGTGTATTCAACTCCACAAGGCGTGCAAACGACGGTGTTCTTAATAAGCCGACTGTAGGGCCGGAGGAAGCGTATGCATGTCCTTCTTTGGAAGCAAATGAGTCACCCGGCGGATTATCTACGGGCGGGACAGGGGAGATCAAGAATGAATTCTGGAAAGTATCAAACCCTGCACTGGCTCCAGCTGTGCTGTGTTGTTGCAAAGTCCTGCTTCAGCATCACTGTGATGTGCATGCATGTACTGTGGGAGATCAACCAGCGTGGCCAATGCCTGGAGGGGACTATAGGGGGGTTTTGTACCCGCATACTGACGGTGTCCAAGCCTTATTGGAGGTGCTTAAGTCACAGTTCAGAAATTATCGAGCAGAAAATCGATGTGGCGATGCAGTTAGGCATGCCTGCTTTATCCCGCAGGCCATCGTGGATGAGCTGGCGGAGGCCCTGTTTCTGACGCACGAGGTGCTGTTGCTACCAGTAGGGGACTACAAAGCACTTGAACCGTGCCACCAGCCCACAAAGGTGTCCTGCTGTGGCTCAGAAGGCCCTACGAGTAGCTCTGCAAATGATTTAGCCTCAGTAGAAAATCCAAGCCGTCGCTGTAGTGGCCACCAAAATTTGCCGAGGAACGAAAGGAACTTCGATGCTGGGGTTCCTCAGCTGTTCACTCAGAAAGTTGGAGGCTCATCTGCAATTGATGTGACTTCACCGAAATGCCCTTTGGCTTCCCCTTGGATCCCTTCTTATTGCATTTCGCGCCATCTGCACACCTTCTCGCGAACAGATACATTGACTGCAGAAGACGACCACTTGCAGCAGGAACTCCAACAGTACGCGTGGCGAGATCTGCTGCAACATCAGCAGATGACACAAATGGCCAATGCTGCTCGCCCTGGCGATTTCGCCGAGCAGCACTTTTCGCGGTACCCGAGCAGCCCAACCCTACGCCTGCCGCAGTCCATGAGATGCCGCCTCCCTGACCATGTTCTTCAGGGCCTGGCCCACAGCAAATGGGGACGACTGCTCTGTGGCATCGCTGTTAATGACGTACTAATAGCGGACATTCTCTCGCATTGGGATGTCTCTGCAGTTCAGAGGATGCGCGGGACCGCAGAAACGCAGCGCCAGGTAGAAAGGCGCACTGAGCTAGATCGTGAGGATGGCAGACCTAGCCGCCGAAAAGGTGCACTAACGGCTGTGGATGACTTGCCGAGAGACCCGGCAGGCAGAGTGTCTGATGAGCTCTGCAGGCTACTGGGGTTGCTACCACAAACGCCTTTGCAGTATTCCTTGTTCGTTAGCGTGCAGGAGCGGCAGCAGGAGCAGCGCCGCGTCCAGGCAGAGCGGCAACAGCTGCTCGAAAGCATTGCTCAGGCGATGCGCCGACGAGCGTAAGCGGGCATGGAACGTCTGTCACAGTTTTTAAAATGAAATGCAGCATGGAAGGCTGGAACAGCCAAGGAAGCCGACCTCTGCGGCGTCGTGTAACGAGGAAGGGCGACCAGCATAGACTTATTTTCCGTAGTTGTCAATTTGCCGTTTTGTGCCCACCTAAGTAGGGTAGCCACATTTTACTACTACTGCCACTGCGCTCCTGCCGTATGCGCTTCCGTGTGTTTACTTGCACTGAAGTGCATGCGTGTAATGAATGCAAAGTTGCAGGGACACTGTCCGTACGGCACGATATCAAAGATAGTAGTGGTTGTCATGACGCTGTGCCTAGGTGATTCGACCCTCCGAAACGGTGGATTTTTAGTACGTGCAGTCAACGACATGGTTGTCACTGTGCTGCCCTACGGCGCTCAATATAAATTCGAGTTCTTCGTACGTGATGTCTCGGCCGAGTCATGCTGGCAAGTACTATCATGCACAGGCCTTTTAGAGGCTGGCGGCGGGTAGAGAAAAGCTTGGGACACTAAGCCCTAAGACTGATTTAGCATAGTGCATACATGTGCGTGAATTTGCGGTGGTTGATCTCGTGGAAGTGTAGGGCTGGCAACATTGCCTTTAGGGGGTGCCGCTAAATCGTGGACCAAAATTAAGCCTCAAGTCAACCTTCCTAATATACGAGGATTGAAATCCAAATACATCACAGAAGGCCTACCCTTAGTGGTTTGAATTCGGCGACAGCACACCGGCTGTTGTTGACGATGGCAGTCCCGCCGCCCATGCTCTGTTACCGCAAGGAAAGGAACCTTTCCTCGAAGCTAACATCAGAAGAGTCTCTGTTCTGCGTGCACAAAAACATTCAATAGTCTAGAAAGTGTTTTGGTATCCCAAAGTTCAGTTGCTGGCTCTCTGCCTGGGATATCTTGGTTTTCCATGTGCCATTGACCTCCCACCTACGCTTTCACTGGGTCGAAGAGACAGCCACTGCAAAACACTTCGGATATTTTTCGCGTGGTGAGGGCTAAAACTGCAACTGCAATACTTGCATGTCTCGCTGCCCAAAGACTGGATGAAAAGTGCCTTTGGGACTATTCCTTTTGTGAGTGCTTGGCTAAAGTCGATGGCTGAGCGCTCAACGGGCTATCCAAATCCCCTTGTTTACGCTGTTTCACGCTACTTTGTTTGGGCGACCAACATTTCCTGTAACGCCTTTCTGGTCAGTTGCTCACAGGATAGGCCATCGGCTGCCCACCATCTCGATATTCTTGCCGGCGCTGTTAGTGGCAAGGTCTGGAATATTGAAAAGAAATTATTTGTTGTATAGAATTGCAGTTAACAACTCTCTTCCTGGCAGTTATCTGCGGGGTCCCTCAGGGAGTTGCCATGACCGCTCTGCGTTCCCATCTACAGTTTAGTTTGTACGTAGTCCCGTTTTGGCGATGGTACAGCCTTACTACGAATCCAAGCGCCACATTAAACATCTAAGAGCAGCACAACTCATACTACTACACGTGAGAGTTAAGTGTAGCACAAGTTGGAGAACCTTACAGTGCAGCCTAACTTCGTCACCTAGCTCGATGACTGGAGAATTCCTCAGAGTCCCCAAACATTCCTGCTTTGTAGATTATTAATTGTGATTGAGACGTGTTCAAAGTAGAGTTTCCTCTCTTTACTAGCGAAACCTCACTCCATGCGCAGCATGCACGTGACACACTGCCGCTCATCCAAAGAAGCAGCCATTTTGGCCGCTAACAGCAAAATGCCCTTAATTCTCAATACAGAGCACTGCACTAATTGATCTGGGAGTTTTTAAAGAGTATCTGGATTGATTTTACACTCGAGCTCACCACGTTGCTGTGCATTGAGCACCAACCTTGTCGTTGGTCTGGCACGCAAGGGCTGCAGTCTTCACAAGTTCGTACTTTCCCGGGAATAAAATTTTGAAGTAACCGAGTAATTGTCTAGCTGCAGCAGCTACGTGATCCATGCGAGTTCCGAGTCTTTAGGGCCTTATTCCACGTTCGCTTCAGTGGGAGCCCAGAAGCCTTGTTTACATGCCTTGTCTGCACCTTTTGATCTTGAGCCCCAACATTAAACATGGCCACGCGAATAGGAGGGCTCCCTATTCGTGTTGGATCACTGAGGAGGCAACTGATCCCACCCGTATGTAATTCATTTGCACGGTTGCACAGTTCGACGAGCCCATTCGTAGCATGCAACTGCCTGCTGCCTTTTCTTCCCAATGGAGGACTCTCTGGTTCTGAAACCTCCTGTACTGGGGTAGGGATGAGGCTTTTTTCTACCAAGGGGAAAATGACGGATGAGGCTGGAGCCCAGTCAGTGGAGGAGCAGCGGGAGCCAGCATCCACCACACACGCTGCAAGTGAAGAATCAGCGCATCCTAATGACACTGAGGGTCCGACCGAGGCTCCGTCTAGTTTTTTGTTGGACGAAGTATCTGCTGGTGATCTCAGCGACTGCCCGCCAGCTCTCCACGAGTTCGTTTTCACTAATCCAAATCCCTTTCCCTTCTCGGTGGACCCCGAAGCGTTGGAGCCTTCCCAAGTCAAGGAGGTTGTGAACCTATTGCTTGGAAGTAACCACTCAACACGTATCCGTGATAATGTGTATTCTGAGCGTTCTAGGTGGTGTTCCGGGGCAGTTTCACAAACAGACCCAGGTGAAAGGTGGTTGCAGTACCCTGAGCCCAATGTTCTCTGGCCAAATCCACTTTTGCACAACCACAGGCTTCAGCCCTTTACTTGCACATCAACTGACGCTGTCGGGCCCATTCAGGTTGTTTCAGGGGCCAAGCATGCTGATAAAGTGGACAACGATACAACTAGTGGTCGACATGCCCCGTCAGATGGTGTGGAGGGCGTTTCAAATCACTCCGCGCGCATCAACGAACTACAGTTGCGTGTAAACAGAATTCGCCTTGAGCAATTGTGGAAACATTTAGGCGTCTATGGGACGTCGTGGGACGAAATAGACGAGGTGTATCTCAGATTTAGACAGCAACTAGAACGCCGCAAAGAGAGGTGGGATAGCAGGAAACAGCAAATCCTTGAATACGCAGGTGCTGTGTGCTCCAGGAGAGTTCGAGCACAAAGAACAGAATTTCTCAGGTCCGCAGGGGTTGAGTTGGAAGCTTTCGATGACGAAACAAAAGAACAGCTACTCGTCCCTCGTTCTCTCTTTAGGCGAGCTACGCGCAAGTACGCAGATGTTTTGCATACATTAAGTTTCTTGTTTCTTGATGCCCCGAGGTCTCCGTAGATTTCGTTAGGATATACTACCTTAGCGAGGATGTAGAGAGTAGACATAGGGACATGCAAGAGGTGCACGTTTCACACTCAGAATGGTCCGCTGCTTCATTTTTGACAGTTTATTTGCTCTGTGTAACCCTCTTACCAGCTTTTATGAAAACACGTCTGTTGAGCTTGATGAACTGTCACCCTGCGCGTGTTGGGTTGTATTTCTTCAGATTGTACTACAAGTGGCACGATGCGTACTTCGCTCCATGGAGGCCCGGAGGACTTCAGTCTGTGCTGAAGGCACACGTGACTCTGCGGATGTTGCAGCGTGAAACAAATGAACGCCTTTTGCATCTTGAATTTGCGGGTATGTCACGGAGGGTGTCAACTGGTTTGGTGCAGAGTGAAGCACGCGGCACCGCAGCTCTTGTAGATACTCCAAAAGGTTCTGAGAATGAACAACACGTGGAGCAAAAGCTGCTGCGCATTCTTAGACAACAGCACGTTAGGAGGCCTGTGGGAAGCAGAGGCGCAGACAAACTGGGTATAACGTCAAATACTGGCGATGCACAAGCAGTAGGGGAAAAGTCCACTGAGACAACCGAAGCGAATGAGCAAAACTGGGATTTTACGGGTGTTGGGCGCCGCTGGCGGCGGCACAACCGCTTAGTAGATTTTGATGCAGTGAAAACCTGACGCAAACGACTCCTTTGCAATATTTCAGCATTAAGCAGTCTTTTTGCTGCGCACATCAGAGCGATGCGAGTGGCATATTCAGTTTGAAGTATGATGGATGTGTACCAAAAAATAAGCAGATCACCTGCCCTGAGGTGCAAACTGTAATTTGTAGCTTGGCGATTGTCTAGACGCCGAATTATCCCCTGAGGCGGTTGTACAAACACCAATTAGGTCACCCCCCTTGGCTTTCGACGGACGCAGTACTGTGCATAGAGTTGTTCTGTAGATGCCTGAAGTTCCTGTTGTATGCATCTCATGTGAAACCAAGAGTAGCTCAAGGTACCACGACCACTTCCCCGTGCCCTGAAGGCCGCCGGGAAGTGGTCGTGACATTTTATGCCTCGATTATGTCCCCAAAGTACTTAATTCTTACAACATATTACCCAAATCTCGAGCGGAAACTAACCGAGGAAACTGCGCAGGAAGAATTTCGAGTACGAGTGCATTGTAGATCAATCGAGCGTGCGCAGATGGCACTTTCCGCTAGACTAGGCAAAGCCTAAACTGGAACAAGCTTTCTAACTGCGGAAGGCGGTACGCATAAGAATGAGCAACACTAATGGACTACATGCCGTAATAGGGAAGTTCAGTAACTCCAATGGCCTGTTGCTTTACGTTCTTTATATGGCAACTCGTCCAGCTACCGCTGCAAAATCTCGTGAGTACGAACTTTTCGCCCTAGACCGCTTGAATCCGTGCATTTTCTGCAGTATCCTTCTCGAAGCTCTCCTTCCTCGAGCACCACTAGCTTGCGCTATTCTCTACCCATGGATTTCTGAGCCGTAATCCTAGGACCTTGGGCAGCACATAGATGAAGCAGTAGCAGTTACCTAAGGACTTCTTTATGCTTGCCTTATTCCTTGTTTTGCGTGTGATTTACAAGTCAAATTTCAACTTCAGGGAATGCTGCTCCGCATTTACGGAAGGAGACTTCTATATGTTTTCCAGGGAAAAGAAGAAATGCCACTATCGCCCAGTTGCTTTTCATATTGGGATAAAAATTCATGCATC